TCTGAGAGAACTCGGGGGAATACAAAGAATTACTTTCTACTGTGAGAAGTTGCCTGTACTATTAAGTTGTCTTTCTGAATTTCACTACAAGAGAAACTAACAGATGTGTTCGCTTCCGTCTTTGCATATTTATAAAATAGATCAAGAGCTTTACAGAATTATTGACATTTGTCAGTAAAGAAAGAAAGTAGACCTCACTCGATGTAGTTAAACAGCCCATGAATACCGATCAGCTTAGAAAATTACTAATAACTACCGTGCATAAGCTTTGACCAAGGTGATCTCAAAAGATACAGAAAAATTACTTATGTATTTATAATGTATCACAGATTTATCAACTCGAACCGTAAATTTATTCAAAAAGATTAAACATTGTTCCTGTTTTTTATGCTCTTAAGTGTTTATCCAACATTTTCACTCATTGAGTTAAGTTCATCTACCCTAGTCGTCAGTTTACAATCATCTTTTCATGTTGATATATATTATGGAACATTTGAATACCTAACACAGCAAAAAATTTCCCATACCACTTGACCACATGATGAAGGTAATTCCTTATTCCAAATTCTTTTGTTAAAAAAGTAAGTTTGAAAAGCAATTCACAATACAAGGGACACTTTATCGATAACTTGAGTATTGGGATTTTGATAGTGAGCTAACACTTCAATTAAATATGATATGAAGAAGTATTCATCAAAAATATTTTGCTCTTAATATTTTTAGTTGATTTCAACAAAACTCTCTTGAAAATAGTGGTTTCTTGATCTTGATTCTATTTACTGGTTACTATATTTTGAAATTATTATCTAAAATCATTGGTCATAAATATTTTTGTATTATACTAGAAATAATAAAAATGACCAATTATCACTTCTTTTTCACTGGTTCATGTATTTGAATCCAATTGTAGCTGGGCTGGGGACTAGTTTCTAATATGAAAATCCTAAAATATTTAATTACTGATTCATCGTTTAACGAATAAAAACGTTTATCTGTATGGGATTTAAGGTAGTAGAAAGAATAGAGTACCAGTGGAACGAAATAAATTAACGGCTTACCAATAATTTTAACATAAAAGTTTGGTTCAGGTTTTGCTTCCTTATCCGACAAATGAGATCCTTAGAGAGTTTTAACTGCGACAAATATCTGGTTATCTTTCTGCTATATATACATGTCAATTTTATGATTTTATGATAGATTATTCTAGATGAAACATTTCAAAAATGGGTGTGAAACTACTTAAATGAAATGCTATCTGTGAATGATGTTCTCGTTCTACTCTCCAACCATCTCTGTGACTTTTGTTTCATGGGCCTATTTGAAGTTTTGTTGTGACGATAACTATAATGTCATCTTTGAAATTTTATTACCTATAGAGTAGTGAATCATATCTACTAAAAAATGTTAACCAACTTTTCGACCACATTTTTACTCGTGAATGTTAACTACTTATTCTTGTACAAGTAGTTCAGAAATCGTAAAACAATAAATCGGTGACTTGTTATGAGAAGCAATTTAACATGAACGGTCAATAAAAATAATCATAGGTTATGAAACTCCAATTGGAAATGCTCAGTTTAACCCAACAAGATGGAACCGCTTAATATTACGCCTGCTACATAAAAATCTAAACAAGTTTATTCGTTAATCCAAAAATTACCAAGATACAAATGAGCACTACAGTAAGCTAGTGCGGTGTTTCAAATAAATCGTTACACTGAAAAGTAATAAAAATTTCTATATATCTAAGTATTATCCACCAGAATTGGAATACGAAAATACATTACCATAGAATTAAAATTCATATCATGATGGTAAAATGGTGATTTCATTCTAAAACTGGGACACCTGCCTCAATAACTGGCTATCGCAATCTGTTCGGTTTATTTCATAGGGAATGGAACTGCGAAATAATTTGAAGACTTATGTTTTACTTTTTTATCATTATCGAAAAGAAATTTCTAAAATTGTTTGAGTCAAATCACTTCCGTTCATACTTATATATGACGATGCAGATAGCCATTAACTTGTTTGAATACTTCAGAAGCGATAAATTTCATCAACAGCAAAATAGTATATTAACTCCATGTTTATGAAAATTTTATCTGTTTACGCTAGTCTATTCATTTTATCCCAGTTAATGATTATGTATCTGAATAGCTGATTGCAAAAGGGTCTAATAGTTGATTTGGTTGGTGCTGTCTGTCTTATAATCCAAAATCTTTCATTTTCCCTTGTTTATTTTGAGACATACTGCTGCAAAAGATGTCTTAACTTGGGTTTGTTGCTGTTTGTGGGATAGGAAAACTAGGTCATCTGTTCAGTCCAAATCGGCTAGCTACACCCTAGCTGTCCACTGTATCCCTTGCTTACCATGAAATGGTGAGGTATTCATAATCCAATCAACAACCAGAAGAAAGAGATGGGTTGAGAGTAAGTTGCTGTGTCTGATATCGATCTTCACTTGGAATTATTCTCAAAGCTGCCCTACATGCAATTTTATTTGGGTATAGTCCATCGTAAGAATTCCTTTCAATGTGGATTATCTTCTCAGGTACACCATGTCGTCGAAAATGCCTTCAAAGTATCATACAGTCCACGCTATCAATTGCTTTCTCGTAACCTGAAAAGTTGATACATGGTGGCGAATTCCATTCGACTGATTGTTTAGAATTAATCGGTAGCCTGGTGAATTGATCCTATTATTTTGGGAGATGAATGTCTACTGAATCATCCGTTCTGTTCGACAACACTCGGTTGAAGATTTCTCCTAGTATTAACAGTATAGTGATGCCTCTGTAGTTTTCGCAATTACTGAGGTTTCCTTTCTTTGATATCCGAATGAGTTATCTCTCTTTTCAGTCTGTCTGTCTTTGTTCTTCCTTCTAAATCCTTCTGGAGAGAATGTGGAACATCTGTTCAGTGACGTCTATGTCTGACTTCAGTACTTTGGCTGGTATACTATCTCATCCTCTTGCTTCACCATTCTTGATTTTTCTAATGATCTTGCTGGGTTTTTTTATTTCTGGTGAGGCTGCATTAGTAGGAAAGTCTGTTTGTGTTGCTTTGTTGTCCAGTGGGTTCAGCATAGCTTGTCTATCCAAAAGATTCTCAAAGTGTTCTACCTATAAGTTGTGTTGCTCTGTAATTTCAGTGACTGGTTTCCCTTTTGTGTCGTTGAATGATTGTTCTTACTTGCTTACGCCTGTTACCCCCAATAGAGTATAGGCCGCCGACCAGTATTCTCAAACCTGCTCTGTCCTGGGCTTTCCTTTTCTCTTCTGTCTAATTTTCGTTCATTCTCCTCACTTATGTCTCCATTTTTCGGCGTAGTGTGTGCCCCTTGGCATTCCTTTTTTCCTCTGACCCTGAGGGTTCCAAGTGAGGGATTGTTTCGTGATATAGTAGGACGCTTTCATATCTACTCCAAACCCTTCTTCCTGATTTTCTCCGCTGGAATCTGGTTTGTTCTCTGGTTGTTCTGGTTCACCTTACTGCGTTGCATCACAGCTGCAATTATCAAGTCCTCTGCAAACTTTCGCTTGTCACTTGATTGTTCGCTCCTGTGTTTCCGAAATATGCCTTAGCTTTCTTTGTACCTGTTCAGCTGTTGCTTCTTGTTTCCCCTTTCTTGAGTCTTTTCCAGGTTATCGAAAGAGATCTCCTTCTGCTGGTGCTTCTTAGGGCTCAACATCTCCTGGCATGTTGAGTTTATTACTTCTTTAGTCACTTTCTGGTTGTTCTCCATAGTGTTTTCCTCTTCCTCCAGCAGATCTTATAAGACTTGGAACTTATTACTGAGAGCTATTTTCAATTTTTTAGTATTTCGAAGGGAGACTGTAGTGCTATGCGTACTCCATGTACTTATAATAATAGTTACTCTGGTTGTTGGGCCCGTGATTTCCAAAAAATCTTTCATCATGAGGCGTCATAACTTTTGTGAATGAATATCATTCAACTGAAAGGCAGAGTTCTAATAATTTAAATTACTGTTTTGAGTTAGCGTGTTTTTTCGGCAAAATTCTTTTGAATGTGATGGAGTTGCTAACTCTATGCCCAGCACACCTATTTGATAATGGCTTGAGACGGGAAGTAGCCCCATAACGTTCTCATAGTGGAGTTAAGTGATTAGAGATTGTAACAGAAAATTATAACACTGTCTCGTGAACTTGTTAACTTATATCAGAAAGGATTATATACTAATAAATCTAAGAAAGAAAACTTGTATTATTTATCCACCATTAGCTCTGGTAACAGCATTAATTTCGGTTTCGGACTAAAAACTTAAAAAAATGTTTATCTATTGTTAGCAAGTGTCAATTAGGAAATAACCATTATTCAACTACTTTCAGTTATCCTAAAAATATTAATATTAATAATATTAAATCCAGTTCCCAAAGATTAAATCACTTATTGTTCTTAGTTAGGTTGACCACTGAAAACGAAGATATACTGTATAGTTCTTTTATTTAGATATGAAGCTTGTTAACCGTATGCATCAACGATACCATTGGGTCGGGGTCGAATTTGATACATTCACGTTTCATGATGAGGACCACTGAGAGGTGTAAATATTTAACCAAGTTTAATTCATTATATTGTCCTACCACTTACCTTTTTATTATGCTTCAATTAATACTCAAAAATATCAAATCATTTTGATCAACGTTTATATTTGAATAGTTATTCCTTCAATAAATGATTTACACCAGCAAATCAAGTTTCAAGTTTTCAGGTACCGAATAATAACTCCAAGTTATCAGATGAATGGGATTCTGAATGGACAACATTTTTGGTTACCTACAAATCCCTGAATTTATACAAATAATTTCTACTGGACTTGACTTCAACAACTAGTTGGGTTATAAATATATATATATATATATATATATATATATATATACATATACATATATATATATATGTCACATGGATTAAACATGGAATTTAATTAGCAACACGATAACTTTATACAACTAATTATTTTCCTCTCTTCAGCGATGTCTAATAAATTTATGATTACTGAAATTCTCCATGATTCAATTGAACAAACGTCAGTTTCAGTAAATAGTTCTTCAATTACTGTAAGTTATGTATATTTTTATATTTTTTCATAAAATTAATCATAATTAATTTTTAGTCTACTCCTTTACTTACATATTTTATCAATTTAATATCAAGTGAAAATTCACCATGTACAAATTCTGTAATAAATAATTTCACATTATATAATTCGAATTTATCTAACAGTACTAATTCCATTAGACATTATGATCATATTGATCAACATAAAAACTGTGTCATACCAACAGGATTATATTCTGCTACAATGAATCTATTGAATTCCAAGGTTTACACAAAATGTTTATCAAATATAGTGAAATATGATATCGAAAATCAGTTATTCAATCAACCAACACAAAATGATTCTGAAAATCAAATTAAATCAAACAATAACTATTTAAAAGATTATTATCATCATCATCAGCATTCGCATAATGATCAACAATTTAGCCAAGAGTTTTTAAAACTACTCAATTTAATGATTTACAAACAAACGAATGAAAATGACTGTTTACAAATTAAACTATTTGAAGACAATAAATGTAACAATGAATACGATAATAATGTATTACTGATTAATGATGCTGAAAAAAATTCTTCCAATAATTGTCAAAGTGAGTAGTAAATAAAGAAATAGAGATTCGAAGAATTCTTCAAACTGAATTCATCATTTAATGTATATTGATCTGTTATTTAATGTGTCATTCAAGTCAGAACATAATTACAGATTAGTTACGGCTGAAGTTGCAAATGTTAGGCAGAAGAAGATTGTATGGAGTATTTGAATGCATGCTTACTTAAATAATAGGTATCAGCTAAACCTGTTACTTTCGATATGATTTACAATGTTTAGCCAGGAAATCGAACAACTATGTTGCCTGAAACAGACCTCAGCAGTTTACAATGTTCGAAATATTATGTGTACTGATACTAAGTTGAAGAGATATGCATTCAAGTTATGAAAATCAGAATGTAGATCACAGAGTTTTCGTTACAGTCAGTCTCCAAGGCGAGTTGCTGCGTCTACTTTAGTGTCAAGCCTACATGGTTGTTCTAGCTTTCGTACAGACTAATTAATCCATTCTTCTTGAGAAACGCACATTTATTTTGACCTTGTTAGTCATCTGCTGATGACACTAGGTGTTTTTGTTTGAGTTGTGTCCATATCACTTACTTCATTCACTAAATCCTTAGCCTATCTCAATCTAAGTAAAAATATTTAGTCATGCCCCATCAAACTGAATTGCTTTTCCGCATCTTATCCCCATATCTTTCTGTTTGAAAGGTTGCGTGAAATAAACTCATCCAATTCAATCCGTGTTTGGCCTCTCATTATCACCATAGTGCGAACCAGCTTAGTTAGTGTAACATACGGAATTAAATAAAAGATCTCTTTTCATAGCATATTTAATCGTATGACCATTAAAGGGTAAAATATAAAGTAAATTATGGATCTAAGTGGGAATTTTCAATGTTTAACAGTAGGAAGAACATAACTGATGATATAGTAAAAACAATTAGTCCGAAGTTATTGAAGGTTGACTAGTTTATTAGATTAGGACTTTGCCTTTGTCATTAGTTCATTTTACCTCACAAATTGTTAGTAAGATAAATAAATAAGATTAGTGGTTTTATGTATGAAAAACTTTTCTCAGATAAGTTGATCAAGGAAATTCTGATTTTCTCAAACTAATTTTGTTAGTAGTGAAAAATCTGTGTCAAAAGACTTACCATAATTTAAAATTCCGAAGTTTCAGATTTCTTAAATTCTTATTACTACAACATCTCTCAACTAAGGAAGTGAGATGGGAGACTGAGAAGTGACTATGAGATTTTCACTACCAAACCAAATCATAATACAAATAGTTTATCGTTTGACATACATTCGTCACTCCAACTGTGGCGTGATAACAAAACAGATTTTCGCGTTATTTTGGTGATCTCGTGATCCTATCGTAATATAGGACAGTTGTACTCATCTAGTCAGAGTATTGAATGTCTGCGTAGAGACTTGGATTTAAAGTATGAATAATAACAATTAATGGTCTAAGTTAGAAGAGAAGCTTGTTCATCGAAAAGAAACTGAATCTCCCTGGGTTAGCACCGTGAAGTTAAATCGATCGTACTGCAATTCTGTATATATTGTCTCTGTTTATAATTACTGTATATGTATCGTTTACGTGCATGGTGTAAGTCAGAATAGTTTTCTAGTAAATCTTTTAGTTGTACAGGCTCGTTGAACAGATGCTGTAGAGGTAAAACATTCAGATGAAAAATTGAAGAAGGCTAACATTTGATGATAAGAAGTGTATAGTTACCTTTTTTTAGTCAGATATTTTATTGATATCATAAATACATGAATTTACAACAGAAAATCAATCTCTGCCGATTGTTAATTTAATTTCAAACGTTTTCAATTTTTCATCAACAGAATTTAATCAAACCAGTCAATCGAAACATCAAGGTAATGTTTGGCCTATAATATTCAAAGAATTACGATTCACTTGCAGCCCAACGATTACAAGTGAGAATTATCATCAACATAACAGTAGTGGTAGTAGTAATCAATTTTTAAAATCAAATTATTTATTCAGTTGTGAATCCTCTGTCAATTATGCAAGTGTGCTTGATGTAAGCAAATCAGATGCTGATCTATCACAAATTCGGTGTTTCAAATCAGATACAAATACAAAAATAAGCAGTGATGATAAAAAACAGTTGGTGAAGAGAAAATTACGTAAAAGTTTTCTATCTAAAATTAATCAAAGATCTGAATATGAGCGTAAACCTAGACAAGCTTATTCAACCGATCAACTTGAACGTTTAGAAACAGAATTTGAAGTATGTTAGAACTTATCTTTTTGACGCAAATAAGTTATAATTTTATTCATAAACAGCCACAGAATTTTTAATTCCCCAGATAGCCTAAAATTTATTGCAATACTGGGAAGCATTTCAGATAGATTAACCGGAGAATCTTTTAATGATTTAACGGCAATGGATTTACGAAATAATTAAAAGTGGTCCACTCGAATTCAGTTGTATTACGCTCTGAACAACATCGAACACTCTAATTATCTAGCTGAAGTAACTAAGTGACGACACACTGTTGTAGTTGTGAGTTTTACAAATTCAATTCTCTGATGAAGCATCTAATTTGTATCAAGTGATCATGAATGCTACTTGATGGTGATCGCAAATTATCTACTCAAAAGTCACTCTAAAAAAAGCACTAAAACTAATGTATTTGTTTTCAATTATTAGCTAATAACTATCATTTTACTGATATTTAGAAGTATTTTGAAATAAAAGGCAAAAAACACTGGACAACTCTTTCACCCCAGGATGTAACTTTTTATGCTCGAACTCATCACAGGGAACCAAACCCAGAACTTTCGATTTTTCGGAAAGTGACAGTTGTCCACCAAAGGCAATGGGAGATGAATGGATTGGAGTTAGGTTTGTATACCACTGGATTTCGACTCATTGATTTACAGGTTAAGCATTCGTACGCGAAACAGTTAGTCCCGACTTCGGCACACAGTGCCAAAGTTGAAGATAAGCACTGTTGAGGAGTTCTACAGTAGGATAAAACATATGTTCAGTTACTCCAGATTTAAGTGATCGTCTAATTTAAATAAGCTAGTGATTTCCATGGTATCCAGTTATACTGATTATGTGCTCACTAGTGTTTGGCTTCAAGCGGCAACTTCCGGACTACTAGTGAGAAGCCGTAACCACTGAATTTCAACTGTCTCGGGTGTGACAAAGCTATAGTTGCTTATCTGCTGCTTTTAATAAGTTATAGTTGCTTTATTATTTTTGTACCATTATAATATCGTATTTTCTCATTAAATGATAAAAACTGGTATGATTTTGTGGTGATTTTCTTTAAGAATTAATAACATTAAAAAAATGTAAAAGTAAAAAACACTGGATAGACATTTTATTTTTAACCGAGATTTCTTTAGCATTATGAACCCTTAACTCAACTAGGTATCATATAATGTATCTTCATTCCATTTAGTAAAAACACTAACTATAGATAATCGGACCAGAATTCATTACTTTAAACTCATAACTTTCGCCAGTCCTCAACATAACATGACTATCATTCTCTGAATTAGTTGAATCTATAAGCCATTAAAACTGACAGTTCTATTTCGAAGCTTATAATTAACGAATACAGGATTATTATTATTCTTCAAACCGATGTTTTGGTGATCATGATCTATCATTCTAAGATGGTGTTCGATTGTGTTAGGTAGCTGAAGATGATCGATAGAGATCGTTGAAATTGAGGCTTTAACAAGTAGGCACTTGTCACTAAGTTCTACCTGAAATTTCGAGGTAACTGATATTGCCTGTAGCATCCTAACTTGCCTAACCCACTTACACAGTCAGAGAACTCACCACTAAGCTATTAGGGTTATAGCTGATCTTCTTGATGAATGATACGTTTATGCTGACTGATCATTAAGAATTAACCGATATCATACTTATCTAATCATTTAGTATTATTAAAATGGTCATTGAATAAACGTAGAATAAGTTACTACTCAATGATCAATCATTATAATCTCTAAAAAGTCAATAAAATCAATATCTCACCATTTTCCATAAGAATAACGCATGCTACTTTCGTTCTATAATTCATTTTTAACGTTGTGTATGAAGTTGAAAATTTTAATACTTTAAATTTATGTGGTGAATAAAATTTTCATTCTACACTATACACAAAAATGTAAATTTATTTACATAAAAATCATAATTATAAAATCAATAATAAACTATAATAATTTTCACTGAAATTACCTAAAAATCATTATAAACTATTGTAAAATAATAAACAGAGTTGAAATGAATTATTTGAAACTTCACTGACATTTATTAACATGGTGTTACCAAACTTTATCATCTATTTACAAAATATGAAATTCAAGTGTAATGTTTATCATTAAATCTATAATATTATTTAACAGAATAATAAATATTGAGGCATATGAAATAGATTGAATGAATTCGGATTGTTTTTCCAATTTTAATTGTGAATAAGAGTTTATCATACTGATTAATTCATACCTTCTTTTTAAAATAAAATAATAGTTATGACAATTGTCAACAAGGTATTAGATTTGTAAAAATAATTTACAATAGTTTATGAGATAGAATGTGAATCATTAGTCATTTGATCACAATATGAATTATTTATTTGCTTATGTAGAAATTTCAAAGTAAATCAGTTTGTTTTACTGATACTCAATCACATTAGCTAATCTATTCACAAATCGTTTAGGGTCCGTATCATGTTAGTTAAGTTTGCTAAAAATTTTGGAACAGAGAAAAAGAAGGTTGTGTTAACTCCTTTGGTAAATACTCACTATAATTCTACGAGAAATATTTGAAAAGGTGTACATTTCTATGTAATCATAGTCAATGCAATATCAACAATGTCAGTGTAATCTCATTTCTGAGGTATAAAATCTTATTATCTTGTTTACCGCATTGATACTTTCGTTCAAACTATTCATTTTAATTTTAATCTTTAGCTGAAGAAATTAATAGTGTAGTATTTGTTTTCAGTTTGGCTACATTTGTTAATGATCAGCAGGAAAATATCTGTTGGATAAGTTCAGTTGGTAAATTCATTGATTTTAAGAGTAGTTACGATTGGTCTATTACTGGATAATGATCAATGTACTATTATGAGTCAGTTCCCTTCAAGATTACAGGTACACTTTGTTGACGAGTGTCAAACAGTACGAAACCTAGATTCAGAGAGTTGCCTATTGATTACTTATAACCAATGCCTTGCATTTCAGTATAATGTATCTTTCAGAATGGTTGAAATCGATCAGTTAACAATAATAGAATTCCAATTTTTTTCCACTGAAACCTAATCCTAATATTAAAAGGTTTTTGTTTAATGAAAACATTCATCTACCTTTTTGAATTACATTTCAGAAAGATAAATATTTAAAACTCAACAAACGAATAGAATTATCAAATGAATTAAATCTTACTGAGACACAAATTAAAACTTGGTTTCAAAATCGTAGGTAAGTATTAAATGAAGTATAATTTATTATGAAGTGAAAAATATTCTTTAGTCACATGTAATGCTTGTGTATCAATGTATTTTGTGTACGAGCTTTATGCACATCATTTTGCATTATACGATAATAAAAGTTATGATATTTAAACGTTGAGCTTCTGAAAAATCAGTATCATTACAATTCAGCTTATTTCTTCTGATATACTTCTCTTTCATCATTTTAAAATCACTTAGATTGTAGTTAAGATAAATTAAATTTATTCTATAGCATATGAATATAGTATAACAGTTAAGCGTTTACAAGTAACATCTAGTGTTTTACTTAGACCTTGTCGTTGAGCTTTTACAAGGCCTAATACTCAATGGCTCAACTTGTGACAAGACATTTCTTAAAAACCTAAATTAGTCTTCTTTTGGGTTTTTCATCAAAAAGTGACATGAACTTCGTCCTTTCAAAGAAATCTATCATAATTGTGTGTTTCTCTAACTGAACAGAATGTTTTATGAACTATGATTCTTTCATATTTATTTATCAACTCTACGACTTTTTCTTCTTCTATTTCTTCCAGTGCCTGTCACATTCTTTCTGTGCGTTGGTAAATTAGAATGATGTTATAAAACAGAAAAATAAATCTATTGGTTTATAAAAAATATGACGACGCTTCAGCGTTAATAATAATTACAACGTTCCCAACAATATTTACTTTCTGAATCTATGAACTCGTATTTCTAGATAGTAGGCTATCAACAGAAGGATGTTATTTCCAAGTAAATAAAGTTATTAAAAGTTTATAAATATTGAATAAAGTGAATAGTCCAGTATTTAGAAAGGTAATTGAAACTATCAGTTAATAGCGCTACGATATAGTTTCAGGAATAATAAGAAATAATAAATTTCATAACAAATCCAAAGCACAACTGATTGCTTTATGAAGGCTTTGTGTTCTCTGAAATTATAATCTTCTGAATTCCTCATCACCTCCATCTTTCGATTTTTAAATTTATTTCACTGAATTATATTTCTTGAATGATACCTTCGAACCGTAACCCTCTCCATTACCGTTAATTTTTTTACTAAATCTATTATTATGGGATTTGAACTGATAGTTACGCCTTCGTAGTAACGTGGTATGGCAACTTGAACTGATGTACGTACGTACGAAATTCTGCTTTGTAGCTGACTGACTTCCAAAGCTTCTCCGCCAAGTGTAATTTTTTCGGTGCACTTTATGTTGCATCTACCGATCTAGCTTTTTCTGTTTTGTATGTTGAGACCTACTGCTGCAGAAGCTGCTAGAGTTCGAACTCTTCTGCACCTTGTTCGGCTCGAAGACAGGTGTTCTTTTGGTATCCACCATTATTAGAATATGATTGCACTCCAGCTACATGAACATGTACTTGTAAGTTGAGTTTCATTGCTATATATGTTCATGTTATGGCTGATCTGGAGGACGTAAACATTTTGAATATTGTGATGGTTGGAAGAAAATTCGGCTGGATCAACTTATAACAAAATGATGGTTTTCAATTAGCCAACCCCCTTTGGTTTTGAAAAATGCAAGTTAAAGAATATTAATTTGAAAACTTTGGTCCTATAGAACAGTGTTTCAGTTTTCATTAAGATTAAAAAAGGCTTCCTGTCGCGAAAATCGTGAATTAAGATATCGGTCGAGGAATACTCAGATTTCAGTCTGTGAAAAGAGTATAATTTTGTTATTACACGAAGTGCCTAGAAATTCTGTTGATACTCTGTGGTTTAAGATAAGCCAACAAGTTCTCCAGCTACTAGTGTAATGAATATTGACTAGCATATTAGGTACCTTACCATTGAGCTAGCTGGGTCATAATTTACTTCATGCAGAACTGCGATGATTACAGTGGTCGATCAGGGTTTTTATCTCTAACCATAACGTAGAGAAACAATATTTACTACGCTACAGAAAATATCATTACGCTTATGATTCACCATGTTAATGGACTGCAACTAACATAAACCCAAAGTTTCCTACAGATTGCCTGCGATCCTATTATCATCAAACAAAGTGAGCTTTGATTAATGGATTCTGATCAATAGTGAGTGACAATTATAGATGCGCACTGCTGATGAGTGTCATACTTGTACGAAACGGCCGTTCAATGCTTCCACGTTTTTTAATGGCGGTCTAACAACGGCCGATTCATGATATTTATGTGACTTTAGCTACTGCCGAGTCAATGCATATGTCAAACAAATTTCCTTTTGTCTATTTATTCTTCTGTATTCTATAATTAATTATAAGTGAGCAACATAAATTTTCGTTATAAATAAATGAATGCGACATTTATACTGGGTAATCAATTTCATTTTTGTTGATTTCTTAGAACGAAATGGAAGAAGAAGTTATACTGTTTGAATTCTACAAGCCAATTATCGGTAAATTCTGTTAAACATGGAAATAGTTTATGGTCAATAACTAATAAATCTACCTCTAACAGTGAACAACAGTCTACTGTAAACAACTATTATTCAGGTTTTGTATCAACTCAGTTTCCTTCATGATAATTTTAGCGATGACGATAAACTAATCACAAGTTTTCCTAATCCTCATATTGTATTTAATCTACTGTCTATATGAAATGAGACAAATATATCAGTGTTGTGTCTTTTAAAATGACTCATTTGTTGAACAAAGTAACAAAAGGTAAATAGCGTTTATTTTGATTTCTTAAATAGGCTTTATTATTATGAATACCAAGTTATCGAATTCGGAAAAATAGTTGATCAGTCCTCTCTGACTTTCAGTGGTCCTTCATTTGAAGCTATTTTATTACAGGAGTTGCCTTCAGATGAAATACATTTTCGAAATCATATCATTTTAACTACTGTGCAAGCGAATGACTTAGTCATGGTCTTAGTTTCTGTGATATTGTTTCAAACAAACTGGCTATCAGTCTTTTGAAACCGACTGCCATAAAATCTCATACAATAAATTAGATAGGAAAATGAAAGAGATTCAGACGTCCTTCAGTCATCCACCTAGTATCAAATCTAATAAGATGTTATATTTAACCTATCTACTAAAATTAAATCTGAAAGTAATGGTTCTTAGTATAGTAGCTATGCAATTCTTCAGAGATCCGTTAGACAGGATCAACAAGTTGCCATAGGAAACTTAACCATTTAAGTCACTAATCATTGAGTTATTGACCTAAAATTAAATAAAATAAGTGTATATCTTAACAGCGAACTAATAAATACAAAATGGACGGCTGAACAAATTCGTAGGTTACTGGCTTTCGATCAAAGGTGATTCGAAATCATTGATCTTTTATTTGAGGACAATCGTTTAAACAATGCTATTGTTAGGTATTTAGACTTCATCGTTTGAGGTGGTTGGAACATGTTTTGTATGCCCGACCGCCTCGATGAACTGCGCTTTGTTGTGTAGGGGTAGGTTGGAAGAAAGCTAGGGGCAGCCAGAACAAAACATGGGACAAATCCATGAAGTCACTGACAACTGTACTGAGTCATGTTGGTAGGTGCAGACTATCTGGTTGCGATCCGCGAGATGATAGTAATCGAAGGTTAGAGACCTTGGATGATATGGCTTAAAACCGTTTGTAGTGGTGCATGTGCATCCACTCTTTGTGCTCTCTCGAATTCTAAACTTCTGAATTCCTCATCACCTCTACCTTTCTCACTGAATTAGGCTTCTTGATTAATATCTTCGACCCTAATCTTCTACATTACTCCTGATACTTATTCTACATCTACCACCATGATATTTGAATTGACAATTCCATCTGTCTGTGCTAGTGAGGTATTGCAACTTGTATTGGTGTATGTATGCACGTAGTTCTACGTTGTAGCTGATCATCATATACCTTTCAAGCTGATACGAAAGAGTCAGGTGTGTTTGTGAATATGTATTAATATTTGATAAGTTCATTTTTTATCCGCATAAACTTGGCACACTGAAAACTATCGTTGAACACAGTGATTAATATTAACAGTATACACTGCAGTTTAACATTCATGTTATTAGAAGTATATTAACCATGTTTTGTGAGATTCTTACAAGCTCAATTCTTAATCTTGGATCATGTGATTATCTATCATTCTATTAATAATAATTATATCTGTTTTATGTGCTACATTTCATCATTATGTTTGTGTGCACTATCAGTTCTGTTTATGACAAAAACCAAGGTAATAATAATAATAGAAAAATCAATAATCACAAAGTCCTACTTCGTTAAACTTGGATTGCATACCATTGTTACTGGTCATGAAGTGCCATGATTCAGAAGAATCTAAATTAGAATGTACAAAAATCACTTGATATTTCAGATTAAAAAAATATTCTAAGGTAACTTTAATTCATTTGTACATCGATTGTAAAATCCACAATCACCTGCATCAAGATAAATATGAGAAAATACATTAGGTTACAGAATCGGTTCAGTTTTACTAGACATAGGTTACAATGACTTTAAGAAGAAACGAGTGAAAATTAGTCTTGACATGTTAATTATGCTTAGTATTGATGTATTTCTAGTCAGAACGTAGTCTCTCCAGTTGGGATAATTAGTATTCTGTTACAAGAATTTCACGGAAGAAAGCGAAAGTCAATTATCACGAAATGTCTTATATTCAATATTACTGAACGATGCAATAGTTAAGTATTAAAAATTAGTGAAGCCTGTGAGGAATACCAGTCATAAAACCATGAAGGACAACACAAAATCATGGGAACTAACCGCAACTAGTCATAGGATCAATGAATGTAGTTGATGAAAGGATATATGAAGCCAAAAGTACTTCATTATTAGCCCTCCTCCACAACTCCATAATACTTATAAGAAGAGGATTTCTTGTTCATTGAGATCATATAAAAAGTATGCATTTCGGAAGAGCTGTTTGTCAGATATGAAATGAATCCATCAGAATATATTTATATAAACCGCCAAAAATGCAGCCTGATAAGCTTAGTAACTGTCTGAAACAAACTCACTGGTTGGCAACATGCATTTTCAAACAGAATGTTTCATTGCATAGAGGAGTAATTTAGGCATTCTATCGTTCGTGGTTGAGTTTTGCTCTGAACCTGATGTTTCAGTTGTGGAGCTTTCATTGTTCTTCTGAACATCATCAGCACAAACTTCAGGTGCAAGTCCAATAAACTCACGTTTCTTGTTGGAAGTAAATTGACGGAAACCAATCAATATAGAGTGATACATCATAACATTGTTAGTTGATGTAAGATGACCTTGATTTCCGTTGTGAAGTTATGTGCACCCTCATGTGCTAAAATTCGAGTGACAGCAAGGACTTTCAGTCAGGGCACTGCTAGGCATACATAATGCAGCTGATCTCATTTGATAGGTGTACGCTCAAATAAATGTTATGAAGACGATCTCTGTGTTGTAATCTGATGCATTCTGCTACATAAATAACTCCCACTCAATGTCACCTTAAGGTTATAAGAGATGATCTTCGGTGAAGGATATACAGAAGTGTGTGATACTGATTACGCCCAGTTGAACGACATGAACATAAAAGTCAACGCGAAATGTGACAGGATATACTTACTGCACATGTTAATTCACAGTTGTAAAACAGATACAAAGGACGGACAATAAATGACTATAGCTCTGAATGGTGCTGTGGGTACGCAGTCTAACCAATAAGCAAGGAATTTTGAGTAAAGAGTTCTAAGATAGGTGGATAAAAGAGCTAATTATGTAAGGAACTTATACTGGTTGACTGAAGTGCTTAATGTTATATATCATACCACAAAATATTGACCGAAGTAGGATATGGTTTGGAATATGGTTAAAAAAGGTCAGACTAGAAACGTGATGACAACCAATCAATCAACAGAACTTCGTACGTACGTACATCAGTTCAAGTTGTCATCCCACATTAGCACAGTGATGCAATTGTCAGTTCAAATCCCATAATAGTAGAGGTAGTGGAAGTATTAGCAATAACCGGAGAAATTAGGGTTCGAAAATATTTTTAAAGAAGTAGAATCTAGTGAAATAAACTTGAAACGAAAAGACAAAGGTGATGAGTGACTCCAAAGGTTAGGATTTGAGAGAACACAAAGAGCGGATTCACCTGTGCCATTGCAAACGGTTTTGAGCAATGTCACTCAAGGTCTCTAACCATCGATTCATATCATTTCGCGAGCCCCAACCAGACAGTCTACACCTACCAACACGACTCAGTCCACTTGTCAGTGACTTCATGGATTTCTGCCATGTTTTGGTCTGGTCGCCCCTAGGTTTCTTCTAACCTATTCCTACATCGCAAAACATAACTCGACGAGGCAGTCGATGATATCAACCTACGAAACGGTTGTACGAAGTTTGATCGAAGTTAATCAAACTATCCATGCAAATAGAAATATGCGGTCATAAACTTAACATAACACAATTTAAAAAAGATCATATTAGTGTAGGAACTTTCATCCTCTACGTATCTTCTTATCACGGTCATATATGACTGTCTACTTTTGACACTTCAACCAAATGATATAAAATCAAGTTCAACAATTAAGAATAGTCAACTACTTTGCTTTATTTTAATCTCTTATTACATAGTTTGAAAAAAGTTAAAATAGGAAAGTAGCGTCAGTAGTTAATTTACAAAACAAAATGGAAGCGAGCCGAAAATATGGACAACCATGATTATAAGAATAACACAAAAGTATCGACATACAATACAAGAAATGACTTAAAAATTCATGGATTCAGCTTATGTACATAACATGAGAAATACCAATGAATAAGTATTTACTATTAAAAACAGATTAATAAATGAACAAAAACTTTAGTGGACCAAAGAAACATTAGGAAATAAAATAATTAATTAAAAAAATAACTTATAGATTTAAATTTTCTCATTAAAACAAAATGAAAGTAGAAAAATGGTTACATAGGTAATGCTAATTTGTTAAATTACAGAATATCCAATGGGATTGCTATCGATCGGCGAGCACTTGTATTTTGAATAGAATTCGACCTGTGTTTAGGGATATTAATATTATCAGAGAAAGCCTCAGAGCCCCAAATTTCTATAATGTTGAAGAAAAATGAGCAAATTTACTGTAAGGTAATATATGTATATGCATATATATGTATGTATATGTATATGTAATTATGTAAATAAGGCCAGATTATTAATTGAGGCAGAACAATATGAATTCAATATATTCTGTAGTCTCTCATTAGCTGCTTACAACCATGTATAAGAAATTGAATGAAGATAAACCAGGAGATGTAGTGCATTCATATTGATCAGTCTCAATTATCATTGTGGCCTTATTTACACTCATAAACGGGACAAACGACATGATAATAATTATCATTAATGTTATCAAGGTAAACAAGGAAACTACTGGTAACTTGTGAAGTATGTAGTACCAATACATCAAAAAGATTAGCATACGTAGATTTGTCTAGTACACCGAAGGGTAAATGGTTGTAAGAGACTGAGTAAGAAGCACTACACAATTATTACAAGTCCTCTAAGATCAACGGATATTGAACTCTTTTAATCTCTTTTAATGAACATTGATCACTTCATATATATATATATATATATATATATATATATATATATATATATATATATATGAGTCTAGTTCACAAGACAGTGGGTTAACATGTAGTCCCTTGGTTAGTCAGAGGTCAAATCACATTTGTTTACTCAAGATAAGTGAACCAATTTAAAACAGTTTAGAGTAAGGTTGTCCTAATTTCGTTTTGTAAACCCTCGGATTTTACGAGGTCGATTTATGTATCGCATGTCCATTTCTACACTTCCACTATTGTAGAAACATCATCGTTGAGCAAAAGCAGTGAGTAGGACTTATTTGAAAGACGGTATAAGTTTGAGGTTTGCAATAAAGCATTTTGATAAGAAAAACGAATGTTCTCACTCATAGCTATAGTAGGGTATTTGGAGGTTATAATACACAATTCTAAAATTCAGAGACTATCTATTTTCCTCTTAGATAATACGCACACTTGCTGCTTGAAGACGTTTACAGAGCAGGAGCGAAATAAAAAACAGAATAGCACATTTAAGTAATGAAAAAACTAATCACTACATGAATATGAATCAACAGATATACCTTGTTCTTGTACATGTTTCTTCATAATAGAAAACCAAGCAATGATTTCTTCTTCATCACTCTTATATATTGTACTTGATTCATCTAACTGATTTACATTATTTTCTACCATTTGTGTTGCCGTGAATTCAAACACTTCAATAGAAGAACCTTTTTGTCGTAGTTCTGACAAATGTTGTTTAGGTGAGGTTAAATCTGTATCTAAGTGACTAGTAGCAATACGAAATGTAAGTAGTTGAGATGAAAACACACATGGTTGATAACAGTCAATTTTGTTATCACTGTTAGAATCATTAACTGAAACACGTGAAGAAGCTTTGGACGATTGCGGTGTTAAACATTGCAGTTTTTCTAGTTTAGTTAAATCAAGTAGGCTGCCTGTATCTGTTCTGTAGGCAGCGGTTTCGTTAGAGTAAATCCTACGTACAGGTTCTACAGAACGAGAAACTCTCTTATACCTCTTTCTAGCGTCTACTGAATTAAGTAAGCGTTTTTTAGAATATTTTGTCATTGGAGACAATGAGCTTTTAGATGTAGACATAACCTTGACCATACTTAAAGATAAACGATTACAGTTTGCAACAAATGCTGTTTCTGACTGATTGCGTAGGTTACTTGACTGTGATTCCAAGATATTTGTTTTATTACGGAAATGTACATGTTCAGTTTTAGAAAGATTCAAAATGTTATCAACAGATTGACTATTCAATAATCTAGTTTTATCTGAAGAGAAGAAAGACTGTGTTGTGTATGAATGATCATTAGAACTTGAGCTATTAGACAGACATGATAAGTCGATTGCTGAAAATGTTCGTTTGTTATTTAAAGCGGGGACATCATTTGCATCTGCTTGAAGGTATTTAAAATCAGAATTTGATTCATCATCTTTGGATGAAGAAGTACAACACTTATTTGATTTATCGAAGTCATTTCCAGAGTTATTCGATGGTGCGTCGGTTCTTTGAAATGTAGTTAGTTCAGTTTGCCTTAAGACGAGCTGTGAGTCAAGAAAGTTTGTTTCCTAACGTCAGAAAACAATGATAAAAAGGAAAACAAGATTTAATATAGTTAATAGTACGCAAACAGACGAAATATGGGAAACAGAAAATCAAAACAAACAAATTTGCTTGCTAACTAAAATACTTTATCTGCCTGCTAAACGGAACGAACGAACGACACAGAGACACGATGGGCTATTCTAATCTGTTTGTCCCAGGCCGCGCTAACAAAAGCAAGAAGTCTTGATAAGGTGTAGAGAGTGTATTCTACAAGCACCCAGAAAGTACGAAGTTGCTAAACACACAAATGAAGCTAAGTCACACAATGATAGAAACGCCCTTGAGGGAGCCACAAAACAACGTACTATAAAAATCCGTCAACCAATCACAATCAACGGTTTTCGAGTGGGAATTGTAAGCTGTAGGTCAACTTAACATCTCTGGTGCGAAAACATAAAAATTCAAATTTTCAGAATAAAATTACGAAATTAGGACTTTCCCAAGTGAGTTCTGGGGATATAACGTCCCCAACATGAATGCAGAACAAATGAAGCTCTAGAACTTAGTCTTAAGATTAAACATAACGAGATCAGTGATGGAATAATCTTATTAAAAATATTTCAGTATTATTTAATAATTTTTATACGGTGTTTGACAGACTGTTTAATTTCAAGTCTCACGTTACAGACTAGTTTCAGTTAGAAAATCACTGGAAACTAATAACTGCTAAACAGCTGTTTCATTTCAGTATTGGACTCCGAAACAGTGTTCATCCATAGCCTCGAATCCGGCACCATAAGGTTTCACAACAAGAAATCAACTTTCAGGTCATTGAGCTAAGAATAGATTTCAAATATGTTTATGAACAAAGAATTGTTTGACCTATCATACGAATCAAGCTATGATGTTAAAACAACTTTACTCTCACTAACTGCATCAAATCAAATCGAGTTCTATGGAGAAATAGACAACTTTCTAAAAATATGCATTAGTCAGCGTCATTTATTGTTTTACTACGTCTTTTTCGGATAACCAAATAAGAATCAATCGTTAATCGGATCACATAAAATTCTACATACAACAGTTGAATGAACTAATCCCTGAAGACGACTAGATAATCAATGATGACTAAAGGCGAAAAAAAAACGATTACCGAATAATAATGATTAAATACTATAAGAAACTGGAAATTATTAGAAGAAGTGATAACGTATACAATATAAAACATAGATCTTACTGTATGAATAGGTATAATCAAATCAGTATAACAATTATGTGATGATGATATATTGTGATTTATTTCAGAATTCAATGAACCATTCATTGAAGTTTGGTCAAAGTGGTTTGATGCAGAAAAAGTAGTGTTCTCCGACGAATCAGAGGAAGATATAGCTGAATTTTTCAAAAAGTCATTGTCATGACAACCAGTTTTAAGGTCTTTACATTTTGACGTCTGATTTATCTGCATACAAAAAAAAGTTATTTGTAAATTATTTGTAAAAAGAAAAAACTCAACAAAAACATATTGAATAAATTATATACAAATATGCTGAAAATTAAGTTTGAGTATCTGGATATAGATTAAATCTTTTTATTAAAGATACTTGAGAATTAACCGACAACTAAACTGTAACACCTCATTAGCACTGCATTAGTAGTGCGTAAAAATATGATAAAATTTCGAGATATTTTGTCATATACAGATGACATTTATACTCTAAAAGTTACACTAATTGGAAACTATTATTAAACGTTAAGGTATTCTTTATAAGACATTGGAAAAGCAATAGTTATATGGATTTTATACTTTCGAAATTAACTGTGCACCTATACTTGTAATATAAAGTGAACCAAAGTATTCAAATAGTTTAACATTATTGTAAATCACTCGTAAAAATGTTTTTGATCAATGTATCTTTTGATCGATGAGTTGAGGAGGATAGTTTCAAACTGCTGTAAGTAATCTTCTCAATTATTTTAACAATATGCACCAATAACCTCTCATACAACCGAATCGGGTAATTTCAAGATCGTTAGAAAGTGGACTGAGATATTAAAAATGATACACAATTTTCGAAAATAAAGATGTGGAATACACCATTTTAAACACAATAAACACAACAGCTAATTGAAAAACTACAATACTGATGAGTAATGATACAGCAAGATAGATTATGCTCAATGAACTTATGTTTACGCTAACTGAGGTTGACGTGCGCGATGAAGTCTTTAGTGAAATATGTTCTTGATGAAGGCTGTCACTAAAAAAACTGAATTGGGTGACAACACAGTGAATTTTATAAATGCCATGATCATAACAGTCAGTCAGTCAGTTACAACGTAGAATTTCGTACGTACGTATATCAGTTCAGGTTAACATACTACATTAGTACAGAGAAGCAACCGTCAATTCAAATCCCATAGTGATAGAGATAGTGGAAGAATTAGCGGTAATCGGAGAGATTGGGGGTTGAAGATACTATTCAAGTATTATTCAGCGAAATAAATTTAAGATAGAAAGGTAGAGGTGATGAGGAATTCAGAAGTTTAGAATTTGGGAGAGCACAAAGAGTGGATGCACCTGCACCACAACAAACGGTTTTGAGCCATGTCATCCAAGCTCGCTAACCATCGATTACTAACATATCGCGGATCTCAATCTGGTAGTCTACATCTACCAACATGACTCAGTCCACTTGTCAGTGAATTCAAGGATTTTTGCAATGTTTTGGTTTGGCAGCCCCCAATTTTCTTATAACCTACGCCTACACCACAAAGCACAGCTCATCGAGGCGGTCGGGCATACAAAACACATGTCCCGACCACCTCAACTGATGATGTTTCAATAATTCATCTACTGATGGGCCATCCCTGCCTCGTACGCGTTTCCTAACGACAGCCGGTTATTGTTATTTGTGGGAGCTACTTCAAGGACAGAATAAAATAGGGTGATGAGAAAAAGCTATGGTGGAGAAAATTTGTAATGAAGTTTCTTTCTCTTAGCTGGATATTTTGTTTGTGGAGCTTTCATTGTTCCTCTGAACAATATCATCAACACAAACTTCAGGTAGAAGTGAAAAATTTGAGTTTCTCCATGTTTGGCTTGTAGCCTGTTCCGCTGACCTCGGTCTTGATTGGTTTTTATCGACCTTAAACTTGTCGTTGTTTGCATCTTTGTTTTGATTGTATCCCCCTTTGATCTGATTCTTGATCATACGTTTCTCCATGATTTCTCTGATTGGTTGATAAATTGGGTAAATATCGATGTTTGCTAATCGCTGGTTAACTTGAGTGCCAAGTTTCTGAAAATTCCCTAGTTTTCTTTGCACTTCCTCTATCCAGAATTTCAACATAGTTCCAATCGAACATATGTCCACAGTTGTCCGTACGTACTGATATAAGGGAAGAAATATCATGGCGTTTGACTACTGATTGATGTTCACGCAAACGAAGCTGAAGAGGACGTCCACTCTGTCCTATGTAGTGTTTTTCACAATCTGAGTAATTTATTTTGTAGATGGTACTTGGTTTTTCTTCCTTTGTCATTTTGTCCTTTAGTCTACATAGGACTGATTGAAGTGACTGTTGGTTTGTGTGCTACACCTATTCCAAATTGTTTCAGTAGTCATGCTTTAATTTCCGATATCTTTCATACATGGTTTGTTGGTTTCTGTACTTGCTTTCGCTTCTGATGATGGTCTCAGTCGATATTTTTTGATGGAGTTGCGTGGAGAGCCGTCCTTCTGAAAGATAGTCGTCAGATATTTTCCTTGCTTTTTGTGCTTCATGTGTGTTGCAGTGTGTCTTCGGCTCTCTTGAGCAAGGTTTGTGTGCAGGCTCCTCAACTACTTGAGTCTTCAATTTTCTTGTGTCAGTCAGTGATTATCACATCCAGAAATGATAGTTTGCTGTTTGACTCCTTTTTCATTGCAAATTTTATGTTATCAAAGACGTTATTGATCCGATTGTAGGTGTTTTCCAGCTTGTTCCTATTAATGATAACGAATATATCGTCTAAATAACAGACCCACATTTTTGGCTTGGTTACTGGTAAGACCGATTCTTCTAGTCGCTGTATCACGGTTTCTGCGATGGCCTGATAATGGTCACCCCATGAGTATTCCTTTAGTTTGTTTGTAGATTTTGTTGTTGAATTGTAAATACGTTGTTAAGCATAGATCTACGAGTTCTAGTAGACTTTTCCTCTGAAGTTCCGTATATTTTGGGAGTGATCAGATGAATCCACTAAATGTTTTAGTATTCTTGAAATTTCAACCAAACCAACTACCAGTCATACGTGAAGACATCTGAATATTTCACTTCCACCTGAAGTTTGTGCTGATGTTGTGCAGAAAAAACAATGAAAGTGCCACAACCAAAACATCCAGCTAAGAGAACGAAACTCCATCACTAGTTGCGTTCAATGTTAATAATAGTCTTGTGAGAAAAAAATGAAATGTTACAATACTGAGAGCTTCTAGCTATATAAAAATACAACGCTCTGGAACCCCTTATGGAAAAAATCACCTGTTACCTATTAATAAGATTCATACACTTATACTTTATATCATAAAATATTTTACAATATATTATTATTTCTAGGATAAATTCAAAATATGATGTAAGGGATAAACAATGAGATATTAACTGGTAATGGAAAGTAGTTGGAATAGATTCAGTGGAACTTGTTTAAGATTTAGAGCCTAATTAAACAATTCGAAAAAATGTAAGGCAAATAGATAACATTGTAAAGAGTTATCTAACAGAATGAGATATGAAGAGATTTAACAAATACTTAAACAAATGGTAATTAGAGAACATCACCAATCTATTAATTAATAGTCGAAAGTGGGCTAATGAAATTCGCCAAGTTTGACGTTATTTGAGATATATTTTCGAAACATTGTCACACTTACTCACGCTTACACATTAAAAAAACGTTTAGTAATTAATGAATCTCGAAATAAGTCTAACAGTTCAATTAGACTCTCAAAAATGAATTATGCTGCATTAAGAATACTTTCAAGAATAAAAATTTACAACTTACATGATTGAATGAAGAAAATTCATGTGAACTGCCTTCATTATGACTTGTGTTAACTAACGTAGCCCAAAGATAACAATTCCGAAGTTCACAACGATAAAGCATCATAGGTGCTTGAATAGGTGAAGGTGTTAATTTCTAGTAAATGGATTTAGTAAAAGACAATTTTCAAATGTTAGTATTTTTTGAAATAATAAGGTATCATAAGGAAAATGAGAAAAGTATGATAATGAATTTGAGATAATTGTCTGAACAAAATTGCTGCTACGTGGTATAACTGTTACGACAGTGTAGAATGGATAGTGGCATTTTAAATTCTCTTAGTGGCAAACAAAAAAAATCAAATATTCAATATGAAAAACAACCCACTGTACAATATGACGACTCCTTCTAAAACGCGTGAAACATGGTTTCACATCATTAATCAAATACATGATAAAACAGTCTTTTAATTGGGATTTGATGTAACTATCAAGTGACATATGAACTACCTCACTTTAGTAAAACTAATTGCTCCATTGGTTTGCACCACTTTTCGCAGTTTTGACATTTTACTTAAGAATCCTAATTCCAATGTTAACTATTCTAGTTCTAGTGCTAAAAAAGTCCCAAAACGCTTACCAAATATTAAATCGATATTTTAATTGGTAAAATGACTCAGACATTTATTTATTAATATATTCAAACACAAAAAGTGGTACAAAGGAGCACCAAAATATTTATGTCACACAAATCAAAAAATTTTTATGCGGACTGGGACACTGCCTGGGTGCCTGGGGTGTCAAAATGAAAACATGGCACAAATCCATGAAGTCACTGAGAACTATACTGAGTCATGTTGGTAGGTGTCGACTATCTGGTTGGGGCCTGCGAGATTATAGTAATCGATGGTTAGAGACGTTGAATGACATGGTTCAAAACCGTTTGTAGTGGTGCAGGTGCATTCATTCTTTGAGTTCTCGTAAATACTAACCTGAATTCCTCATCACCTTTATCTTTTCCTTTCACGTTTGTTTCATTAGAATCTATTTCTTCAATAATTTCCGATTACTGCTAATACTTCTACTATCTCTACTACTATGGGATTTGAAGTGACAACTGCATCTTTGTGCTAATGTGGTATGATAACTTGAACTGATGTACGTACGCACGAAGTTCTATGTTGTTGTTGACTGACTGACATATCTAATCCTTAAGGTAATGGAACAACGTTTGAAGGTCCTGTCCCTCGGTAGCGGATGGTCAGCAACAGGTTCATAATCCATTTGTTGACTCAGGAGCCTATGTTCACCAATGAACTGGAATCAGGGTTTTCCAACTACGATAGACGAATCCTTAGTATCTACCAACCTAGTTTAAGCTCCAGAATTAGCTTTCGTTTCGTAATTTGAAGAACAACGCCACGGAGATAAGGCAATGAGGACTTCCCTGGACGTGGCTATATGAAAGCATTTTGAGGGAGAGAGAGAGAGAGAGCAGACTCTTCCTACTCTCAGCCGTACCAGTGTATTTGAGGGCACTCATAGGCAACTAATGCAGGGAACAGATTATATTACTGCTTACATCTGTAAATATTTCATATGATAAATATATTTGGATAGTGTAATAAATATACGAAGATTATCAAAACGGTATTACATACAAGCTCAATGCATTTCAAACAGTCTGACTACACATACTTGTTAAGACTACGAAAATATATGAAAAATAAAAGACGAACTACACAAACTGGACGTAAGAGAGAACAAAGATATTATAGAGAGTAATGTTAAATATTAATGTGAAACTCACCACTCTGGATAATAAAACTATATTACCAGGGTAGGTTGAGAAAGAGAACATTTTCTTTAGTATCTTTGTTTCTTCCTACCCTCCGTTTGCCTAGTTGACCTTTTATTTTTCATATACTTGAAATGTTCTTAATAAATACATATGTAATCAGATTGAAATGTTTGGCGCTGATATATTATGTAATTCCGATAATCTTCGTCTTTTTAAAAAAAATATATTTGTTTCTCAATAATGTTGATAGGTCAAACGACAGTATCGATTGATTAGATAGTTGATATGATGAGCATTTTACTAATTCAATGCGTTTTTTAGTCAAATGTTTTTTTACAAGTTCTTGTTCTAACATGCCTGGAAGCCATAACAAAAGGACTTATTTACTGAGTCATTTAAATGACTCAATATGGTGTCAGCAAATGTTGGTTAGTATATTTGAATAGTCTAACGATCTTTGACTCTACTCAGAAATATCAGCTGTTAGAACTGGGGTTTTGAATGATGCAGAAAATTTCTCTTAAAATTCGAAAACATCCACTAAACAGGAAGCATGAATGTACTAAAGCTTGAATCAATGGTATCAATGTGTGTTATTGTAGAGGTTAGTTATATGCATACGCGTAACGCATAAGTTATTCACATGACTTCTGATTATCAAGAACCGCTAGATTTCTATTTTTAGTAGCCTAGACTCTATTTTTGTGGTTTTTACAATACAATGATCCAAACATAGAAGCCAACTGTCTTTTGTGCAAAAATAATTCGTGAAATGGTGTATTCCCATTACATTTTTGTCAATGTATAAGAATATGAGAAACGGGGCAGTATATAAATATCACGTAGTATCTTATTTTGTCACACACTGAATACCTCTTAGTTTGAAAACTTTCCTGTTATTAGGCGTCCACCATATTAGTACAACATAAAAATACGGAATTTCTTTACGAAAATCTATAAGACAAACCAACTTTTGAATGACAGAGAAGATGCTTTAACCATAAAAAGATACACTAATAATTTCGCTAATACATTTAGCTAGTACATGAAATATTTTGTTGCATGAATGATTCTGAGAATTACAACCAAACAATTTTGAAGACATTTTATTTCCTATGTAAAACCTGGTTTCAATTTTATGAGTGAATGAGTAATTCCTAAACAAGCAATTATTAAATGCATTTGTGGTTTTTGAAATAGTTCTCTGATTGACATAATCAAATTGCGTGAGAATATGAAATGATTCTGCAGTACAAATAGATCTTTTTATTGATAAAAGAAATACTCAATTTGAAAATCTTTAATTAAACAAATTATTATTAATATAGTATAAGTGGGAAAAAGAGATATACAAATGATATGAACGTCTACACTTACACGAATCCATAGATAACCGAACTTCAATGGTAATTTAGCTGAATGAGGTTGTGCAACAAGTCGATAACAAATATTACCGAATAATGGTAAATCGCATATCTCTGTTGTTTCTTTCGACTGGTCATTATACATAGAACTCCTTTGTGATGTTGTAGAATTAGAAACAGATAATGATGAATTTCTACATTCACGTGTATTGACAAGTTGACTGCCCATGTCTAGTGTATGTGAAGAGATTTTGTTTTGTACATCTTTTAAAGTGGCAACACAACGTCCAATTAAATCGAAATATTGAGATCTAAAATGTATGAATATGAACGAGAAATTAATATATTTAGAATAGAATATAAAACAAAACCTAATTGATCTCATCATAAAGTTTTTTTTAAATCTAAGCTTTGAAAATAAAACTCTCCTATGGTTTATCAATTTGTATGCATATATCACTAAATCGATCTTTTCACAGATAATAAAAATTGTTTTTCCTTAAGCCCAATAATTCTTAAATGACATAAATACAGATTATTTTACGTAGTCTTCCCTAATATTCGAAAAATGAATAGAATTTACATAAACTTAATTTGCTACATTTAACCGCATTTTTACCAAAAGTAAAATTTCTTCCAAGACTTCAGTTCATATTACTTGACACTTCAATTATAAATGTTATCGCTGAACTAAATAGATTATAACTAAAATTCTAGTAGGCTAATGAACGGTAATCATAATGTCATCAATCAGTCAGTTACAATGTAGAACTTCGTAATTACGTATATCAGTTCAAGCTGTCATACCACAATAGCACAGAGATCGAACTGTCAATTCTAATCCCATAGTTGTAGAGTTAGTAGAAGGATTAATGTTATACTACTGATAGATCAATTTTGACTGATTCTCATCAAACACAAGAGAAATTTCTAGAAATTCAACTTAATGAGAAATAAATTGTAGATCATATAAACGACATCAACTGCGTCAGCATAATTACACCCATATTACTTCGTTGGTTACACTAGTTATTTTTCTAAAATAATTGGAACAATACGAAACTCACGAATTTTGATTGATGGATGGGTTTGAATTCAAAACCTGCTGGAGAAAAATGAAATCGAAACAACCATTTCAGTATATTTAAAATATACAGTTAAATGGTCGAAATCAATATACAATAAATATTAACGTTAAGGGACAGTGTATTTAGGAAAATCAAAACTAATAAGATTAGAATGTACAGGGAATAAAGATAAATTAAAACTATCTGACTACTATAATATAACATAAAAACTATTTTAGTTAACTTTTTAAATCTTTAACTGTTAAACATAATTTGTTTAGGTCCTTAATTACTAAACTCCTGTGAGCTGATATTTTTAAAATTATACATTACATTCTGTTGGAGATGTTAGGTCCCCAGAACTCACTGTGAAAAGTCCTAATTTTGCAATGCCATTCTGCAATTTTGAATTCTTATGTTTTCGCGCCGAGAGACGCTAAGTTGACCTACAGCTTACGTTTCCCACTCGGAAAATCCTTGACTGTCATTGGTTGATGAATTTTTGTAGTACTCTATTTTGTGGCTCTCCCAAGGGCGTTTCTATCATTGTGTGACTTGGCTTCATTTGTGTGCTTAGCTACTTCGTATTTTCTAATAGCTTGTAGAATACACTCTCTACACCTTATCAAGACTTCTTGCTTTTGTTAGCATGGTCTGGGACAAACAGATTAGAATAGCCCATCGTGTCACTGAGTCATTGCTTTTCGCTCCCATTACCGAGTAAGGTGAACTCGTAATAACATCCAAGTGTATCAGTTGACGAGCGTATCACATTCAACATAACGATAATATTTCTTCACTCTACAACGGATTGTAAGAATTTTTAGTAACTACCATACGAATTTGAACTAGTATTCTCCTAGAGTAGTCTAAAGTCTATAAAATGTAATGAAAAGATGTCAAAGTATCAGACAAGTACAGAAAGCCAGAAAGAGATCAAAAGAGGAAAGTGAAGAATAAAATAAAATGCAAAATCGACTAACACCTAAGCAATCTAGTGTCAATTAAAAGCCGAAACATGTAAACAATTAGTTCAAGAGATAAACTTTCGATGAGATGTAAACGTTACTGTCAACTATGTAAAATTCAAACAAACAGTTTTAATAAATGTATGAAAGCAACTTTGAGAAAAAGTTTTCCAAAAAAAATATAAGCATAAACGAACTCACTTGGTCTGATGATTTTTTTACTCCTTCATGGATTGTTAAAAGTCGACGTTTAGAAAATAAAGAATTGCTTTTAGAAGATCCCTTTGGAAAAGCATAGATTTCAATTATACATTCGAATTCCGATGTCACATCGTCACTTAATTAATGAATCAGGAAGAAAAATCACTCGGTTATTTTAATTTAGCTTTATAATCAAAAAAGATAGTATATATTCTACTCTGATAAATTAGTTATTTATGCAACTACAATGCTAACCAATGACTTACTCTAGAAAGATAATTATTTTGGGCTTCCAAAGAATATAGTAACTTACGAGTTGGAAAGTGATTAAAGATGCAGCGTAGGTGAAACAATATAACTCGATTAAAAGAGCAGTGATTTTGAGCACGGAGATATCGTCAGGAGATGAAGGTATTCACTAAACAATTATATCGAATTATTATAATAGATGAGGAATGTAGTATCGAAATGTAACGAGTGATTTTAATGAATACCTACTCCTATAGCATTGGGACTAGAATTCACACTAAATAACAGTTAGGCAGGCTTAAGTGACAGTTCCCCATAAGAGCTGCTTGAAAATTTAGACTAACGCGTGAGACTCTTATTATGTACCACTGATTGAGAATCAGGGTTTGATAGCTTCGCTGGGAATATATTTCGCGTTCAATGTCTCATGCATTTATTTTTCGTGTCCGGATCTAAATAACATACATCTAGACGAGATCCCTGAAATACATTAGCACATGAAAACAGAAATATTAACAATGAATGGCAAAGATGTGAATGATGGCTCCAAAAGCCTTGACTCGTATAAATTCAAGTCAACAAAAACTAACACTAACGTACATTTAGAGTAACTATGTACGAAAAATGTACTGCAAAAACATACGGGGTATTTTATGAACCTGAGTCGCTTCCCATTCTCTCTAAAGTACTAGAAAACCATGGAGATAAAATAAGGCGAGAGAACATGAGTAGTGTTCACGTAAGCTGAGAAATTTGTTTGCATAGTCAGTAAAACTTGAGTATTAAATAAACGATTACCAGGTTAGTGACTTAACTGTAACACTAATTAATCAATGAGAAAATTATATAGATAACTTACAAAGTCCATTTATCATTAAATTCAATATCTGCAGTACCAGGTTTGATATCGAAGATTAGTCGAGTATCTCGAATTACATGACCAACTTGAATGATACAAAACAAACTATAACCATCACATTGTTCACCACCATCCGAATGGTCCGCATTATCTCCAGAAGCTTTAACAACAGCTGGTAGTAGACCACTAACAGTGCCAGACGTTGGAAATAACTGTTGCATAGTCAAATGCATGTTACTGCCTGCGGCCACATTACGCCAAACCAACGGTATACGAATATCTATAAGCATAAAATTCATACAATAATTTTGAATAGTGAAATGCAACATGTTCGTAAAAAAGGTATGCAGAATAAAAAAGTATTTTACAAATAATGTCTACGATTAAACTACGGTAAAAGTAGAATCACTATTATAGATGTGCCATTATTAATTATCTTTTCATCAGAAGCAGAGATAGGATATTAGGTATCTTTGGCAAACCAGTTCATACGGTTGTGTGTTTTTAATGAATATGATAACTGGGATATATATATATTGACTTATCATCAATCACTAACTACCTCGTCGCGAAGCGTTGGCTAAGTAAGTTGTCAGAAAGCTAGGAGTGGCCAGATCAAGATGTAGGATTGGTTCATGAAATCAGTGCATGGTCCATATTGATAAATGCAGACTACCTAATTACGGTAGGCGTGGCCACGACCGTAGCTGCTATCTTGATGAGGTGGTCCGGTTCGCCTATCGTCATGACCCAACCCAGCTCTATTGGCTGGAACATATGTTCCTGTAGGTCCTACCATACCAGGCTGGAAGACTGGATAACAATGACACTAAAAGCAGCAACCCAAGGTCTGAGGGCGTACTGCTGACAGCAGAGGGTGTGACAGCAGTAAGGTGTTTCCCTCGGACGACCAGCATCTGCAGCGATGCTGGTTGACCTTAAAAATGTCACACCTCACCCTACCTCACGGATTCCCATCTCGGGAAGTGTCTGTCATTGAAAAGTGTACCAAAGAAGTACATTAACCTTATACAAGCTCTCTACTCAAACACCACTGGTCGAGTGAGAGCTTATGGAGAACTGTCACCGGAATTCTTTACTTCAAGTGGTGTCCGTCAGGGATGTCCACTCTCTCCATTCTTGTTTAATTTTATCATAGACATGCTCTTAGAAATAACCTTATCCTCGTCTTAATTTTCAGGAGTAGACCTTCTACCAGGAGGCTCGCTTATCGATGACATAGTCCTATTTGGTGAAGACGCTGACAAAATGAAGAGTCTTCTGACCACCCTAAGCAACAATGCAAACATGTTCGGGATGCGGTTCTCACCCTCGAAATGCAAAATGTTGCTTCAAGACTGGGTTGCATGGGCACCTGAACTAGTGATAGGGAGTGAAGTAGTCGAACGTGTAGACCGCTTCATATATCTTGGGAGTCTCATCAGTGCTGATGGCCTGGTGACTGACGAAATCTCAGCTCGGATACAGAAGGCTCGATTGGCTTTTGACAACCTGCGTCACTTATGGCGCAGGTGAGATATCCGTTTGCTGACTAAAGGACGAGTGTACTGTGCAGCAGGTCGCTCCGTTCTTCTATATGGATGCGACACATGGCCGTTAAGAGTAGATGTTCGTAGGTTACTAGTCTTCGATCATCGGTGTCTCCGAAGCATTGCTCGTGTATCGTGGGACAACCGTATAAGCAATGCTGTCGTTAGGAAATGAGTACTAGGTAAGGATGGCAGATCAGTAGATGAAGTGGTGAAACCTCATCAGTTGAGGTGTTTGAGACATGTGTTACGTATGGCTAACCACCGACTGCCGCGACGAGCTATGTTTTGCAGTGTAGGAGAGTAGATTGGAAGAAAGCTAGGGGCGGCCAAACCAAAACATGGAACAAATCCATTAAGTCACTGACAAGTGGACTGAATCATGTAGGCAGATGTAGGCTACCTGGTTGGGGTCAGCGAGACGATGGTCACCGTTGGTCAGAGACCTTGAACGACATGGGTCAGAATCGTTCGCTATGGCTTTTACATATCCAAAGCGTGAGCAAATACATCATTCAACAGTTTGGTAATTTGCTTGCATCTAACAATCATACATGCTTATTACAAACTCATTTGCAGTCCTTACATGTCAAACTTTCTGAGTTTATTACAGATATTTACTCGATAGTTTACGGGCTGCTGTTTTGAGAGAATAAAACAGCAGCTACTACGGCTAATACCGTACAAGCAGCCGACACAAATAAGCTGAGTTATCAATAAGCAAAAACTAATTCATAAAATCAGGAATTAAATAGAACGAAGCTATTTCACTAAAAAACATATGTATGAAGATATAAAGAGTTAAAAAGCCAAGAAATTGAAGCTTAGATAAAAATTAAAGACCTTAATAATATGAACTTGAATTGTAGCCTGATGAACATAACAAGTGGGATTTTGATTGTAGTCAGATAGTTCAGGAGGAAAATTTACGGTGTGACGTTGGAACAGGGTTATATTATATCATCAGTTACCTGAAGTTCTCAAACATCAAAACCCACCCTAGTTATGAGATATTAAAATTTTCGGTACAACATCCTAAGGGAAGCTGGTGAACACGGGAGAGACTCGAAACTAACCAAAATCAGCTAGTATACGTTGGCTTTCAGTTTGTATACCAAGGTGTAAATCGATCATACTTAAGAAATAACCACAAATTAATCCCGTATCTCGAAACATACATAAATCAATATTAATCACTATTTCGGACTATGAAGACGTGTCTGTGTACATTGCAAGGTTTGGAATAATTTTTAAGATCTCGTTGCTAAGACATGCTTCAATACATATACAAAACAAAACCGTCACTCAGTAGTTTAGAATATGTTCCTTAAGCGCTTATATTGTAGCGAGTAGACAGTTTAGGCTTGAATAGAAAGGTAAAACCGTTGCGTGTTAAGTAAGTGGATTATTTGAGAACTGCTACTTCAGTAACTCCGCCTGGAGCACCTCTGCGGCTACTGCCGGCCCCAAGTCCGGGTAAAGGAGGAGGGTTGGGCATGGGGTTGGCTACCCCATCCCACCAAGAAAATAACTTGCCAAAAACGCTAACTATAACAAATAATTCAAACCATTTTAACTCTGCCCTGGAAGTTGGAACAAGAATTATCACATCTCGTGATGAAAGCCAAGTTCCTTCGAAAGTCACGAGGAAAATGATGCAAGAGAAGGAAACTTGACAGTTGTACGATATAACAAAGAATCTCGCTGGAAACTATCGTGAACCAGAACGACAAGTGAAAAGCACGGATAGCAAAGCAATCAGCAACACTGAAAAACGGCGAAATAGGTGAGTAGAGAACTTTAAAGAACTCTTGAATCCACCAGCTCCACTGAACACACCCAAAGTCGAACCGGCAACTACGGACCTCCTATTTGATGAAGAGATCAGTATTGCCATCAAACAAATCAAGAGAGGCAAAGCAGCAGGACCAGACAACTTTCCAGCAGAGGTAATGAAAGTAGACGTGGCATCAACTGCAAAAATACTTCACGTCCTCTTCAACAAGATTTGGGAGGAAGAAGAAGTACCAACAGACTGGAAATAAGGATTCCTCATCAAATACCAAAGAAAGGTAATCTCAGCAAGTGTGAGAACCACACAGGCATCACTGTTCTCCCAATACCAAGCAGTCTTCAACAGGGTGTCGTTAAACAGAATGTGGGACTTTGTAGACGCTCAACTTCGAGAACAACAGGCTGGATTTCGTAAGAATCGATCAAGTAATGACCAAATCGCAACATTACGGATCATTGTGGAACAATCAATTGAATGGAACTCAGCACTCTACATAAACTTCATTGACTAAAAGAAAGCGTTTGAAAAGACAGGATGACACTACGGATGCTGCTTTGACACTACAGAATTCTTGTGATAGATTAGACTGCAAAATCGTGCGCGGAGGATAGCTGACAGACTCGTTCGAGGTGAAGACCGTTGCAGGAAAGGTTATTTAGTTTCACCCTTCCTCTTTTTCCTGGTCATCAATCAACTGGATTATGAAGACGTCAACATCTGGAGAAAAGCACGGTATCCAATGAACAGCCATGATGAAACTGGACGATTTGGACTTCCCAGATGATCTAGCTCTTCTACTGCACACGTAACAACAAATGCAAGAGAAGACGACCAGTGTAGCAGCAGGTCTCAACATACATAAAGGAAAAAGCAAGATTCTGCGATACAACATAACATGCGCCGACCAAATCAATCTTGATGGAGATAACTTGGAGGACGTTAACACCTTTACATATCTGGGCAGCATCATCGACAACCAAGGTAGATCCGATCCAGATGTGGGGGCGTGGATCGGCACAACTAGGGTTGCATTTCTACAATTGGAAAACATCTGGAACTCAAAATAACTATCTATAACCCAACACCAAAGTGAAAATTTTTAAAACAAATGTCAGGACAGTTCTGCTTTATGGACAGGAAACTTGGAGAACTACCAAAGCCATCATCCAGAAGATACAAGTATTCAGTTGTCTATGCAAAACACTTAGGTTTTGTTAGCCAGACACCATCAGCAACAACATACTTTGGGAAAGAACAAACCAGATTCCAACAGGGGAGGAAATCAGGAAGAAGCGGTGGAATTGGGTAGGAGACAAACTACAAAAAGCACCCAACTGCGTCATAAGACATGCCCTCATTTGCAACCCTCAAGGTTAAAAGAAAAGAGGAAGGCCAAGAAGGCCGAGAAAGAGGGAAAGACATGAGAAAAATGAACAAAAATTGGAAAGAACTGGGAAGGGAAGCCCAGGACAGAGTTGGTTGGAAGAAACTGGTCAGCGGACAATACTCCATTGGGGGTAATAGGCGTAAGTAAGAAAGTAAGTACTACTTCAGTGTTACACCGCATGCTTAAATGTTACCACAAGAAGAGACTAGTCAAAGTCGGATTTTGATAGTGAATAAGTTTCCCGTGAAATAAAAAAGTATTGAATAGTAAAGGATATAAAATAAAATGAACGGAAACCAAAATAAAGGCAGACTTTAGTCACTCTTCTCTAAACAGAATGAAGGTAAAAACCTAAATTTAAATACCTGATAGACACAACTGAGCATAGCCTGGCTTTGCGAAACACGATTTTCGTAAAATAGCCCCATTTAGAATTGAGGCTTCTTTAAGCAGTGTATTTGAAGGTTTTGTGCTGAAATGCTTGGCATCTTCAACTTTTTCACGTTGGATCAATCTCATACAACTAAGCAGTTGTGCATGACTAACAAGTAACGTTTTGGCCGCATCAAGACGTTGTAATGGATTCTGAGCGATTGACAAAATTCGACAGGCAGCAGCTCGTATTTTATAGTAACGTTCCAAATCCTGCTGTAATTTTGGGTCCTTAAGATAACAATTATAAAGACAGTGAAGTGAAATGGAAATATAACCTACGAAAACTTTTGAGGAATTACAACGCCTGAAAGGTTTAGTACAGGGTGCAACTTAGGAAATAATCTTATTTTAAACAATGGAAAAATAAAAACTCAATAACAAGCCTGAAGTGTATATAAGTACATTTTAGAAGAGAACAAATGATCAAATAAACGTTTTTCTGGACTTGAATTTAAGGTTCAATCGTTTACGAATTCATATGTGGAGAGGAAGGGTTTGGAAAGCTTGGACACATATGTACCGATAAGTTTTATTTAAATTCTTGTCGAAAATAGGACTATAAAATGTGCTCTAAACTAAGTAAAAATAGAGTTCGTATTGAGTTTCATAACGAGCTTTGAAGCTTGCTTGGGATTAATAGAAAGAATATCCCTACCGTAGCTGCTACCTTGACGTGGAGGTCGCGCTTGCCTATCCTGATATCCCAACCGTGCTATATTGACTCGAACATTTGTTCCTGAAGGTTCTATCATGCCAGGCAGGTCGATTGAAGAACGATAACACTAAAAGCAGCTACCCAAAGTCTGAGGAAGAAGTCGTACTGCTGACTGCAGAGGGGTGTGACAGCAGTACGGTGCTTCCCTCGGACAACCAGCATCTGCAGCGATGCTGCCTTCTCACAAGGAAGGAAGGGATAGAAAAGGTCGACCCTAAAAATGTCACATCTCCCCTAACTCACAGATTTCCGTCCCCTTGGGTAAGGGTGTCCAACAAGGGCCTTTAAGAACGGAGCTAATCCTCGAAAAACCCTTCAAAAAAGGCCGTGCGCGACCGGCCTCAAGCAGTTGTCCCATGGACTCTGCGGTCACGCACCCAGTTCTCTAAGACCAAAACTAATCTATCTTCCTATTCAGGTCCCTCAAGAAAAAACCTTCCACGGTGTGGGCAGCCGGGAAGTGATAACCGCCCTCATACCCGTAATAGCACACGAGACCAAATTGTTCAAAATCAAATCCTTCATACACCCATACATACCTTATTTCCACGACTAACTCTTCTCACATTCCTCTATCACACTGCACAGCTAATGCAAACAATGCGAGTTCACGAAACGTCATTATGTCAAATAGGGCAACAGGCTTCGTTAGCTAGAACTTTAGAAGATCGCGCCATCGATTCATGCTGCGTCTCGGAAACGCGCATGCAGGATCCTAGTAAAGTAATTGATCTGATTTCGCCTTGTCAAAACAAAGAAACAGCCCGATTTACTCTTCGTGTATACGGTAGCCCTGATGCTGCTCCCAGAGGTCTGGCTGGTGTAGGCATAGCATTGAGTCGTAGGGCAGAACTAGCGCTCCTAGTCTGGATCCCTGTAGATAGTCTTTTGTGTGCCGTCCGACTGAACGGGACAGTAAGGACTCGGAAAGATGGGGACACCCGTCGTTGCCTCTTCGTCGTATCTGCCTATGCCCCCACTGACTGCAGTTCACACGAGGTGAAAGACGAGTTCTACAGAAAGCTTTCGGACGTCCTCCTAAAAGTTAAGCGCTCTGATGTAGTAATAATAGCTGGTGACCTTAATGCTCAAGTAGGTAGACTAAGTGAGCAGGAGAGACACCTAGGTGGATGTTATGGTGTCGCGGCTCAGAGAACAGACAATGGCGACCGTCTGTTGCAACTGTGCTCAGATAACCGCCTATTTCTAGCAAACACTAACTTTAGGCATAAGGAAAAGCACCTTTTGACCTGGCGACCCCCGAAGTCGTCTCAACGTTGGACCCAACTAGATTATATCGCCATCAGCCACCGATGGAGAGGTTCGATAGAGGACTGTCGCTCGTTTTGGGGCACATGTTGAGATTCAGATCATGCCCTAGTGCGAGCTCGTATCTCTATGAGGCTTACTGGACGTATGAAAGACACCGTAAGAAAGCCTCTTAGGGTTTTACTTAATGATAATAAGGCAAAGAATATATTTCAGGAACAACTAGAAAGACAGTTAGGTGACCATTAAGGCTATTTCGATCCGGGGGCAGGATGGAATGATATCAAGAAGGCTGTGGAAATAGCAGTGATATCTGCTAGCAAGGTTAATCATAAGGCTAGAATGAAGCCATGGATCTCTGTAGAATCCACCGAACTGATAGAGGCTCGAAAACCCATCCCACCTGGCTGTGAACATGATGAAGAACGAAGTCAACTTAGGCGCAGACTTATAAAAAGCCTACGTAATGACCGTGAACAGTGGTGGGTGGCGAAAGCAAAAGCGATGGAAAAGGCAGCGGCAATAGGCAACAGTAGACAACTTTTCCGACTTATCAAGGATACTGGTATTAGGAATCCTAGTGTAAGTGAGACTATCTCAGAAAATGACGGGACTATTACTTATTCTTAATCCAGGAGACTGGATCGATGGGCAGAACACTTTAGGGATCACTTCAACTGGCCTCGAGCCACTCTTCGGTTACCCACGATCTCCAGTCATCCTGAATGGTAAACCGACATAAGTCCCACGACTCTTTATGAAGTTGAGAAAGCGATAGGAAATCTAAAGCGAGGGCGAGCAGTGGGTCCTGATGGATTGAAACCTGAGATTTTTAAGGATGATGGTCCAGTTCTAGTGGCTAGGTTGGCTGAGATCTTAGGTTGAATCTGGGAACTAGACGTAATCCCATCCGACTGGTCTCAATCACTGATTGTCTCAATCTATAAGAAAGGACAAAAGTCTTCTTGTGACAATCACAGGGGAATAAGTCTAACTAATATAGTATCTAAAATATTGGCCTCAGTAATACTTCGACGCTTAACGAAAGCTCGTGAAGAGCAGACTCGAGAAAACCAGGCTGGTTTTCGACCTGAACGTGGTTGTATAGACCACATCTTCACACTACGACAGGTCCTGGAACATAGACACACATTTAGGCGTCCTACAATAGTTGTTTTCCTGGACCTAAAAGCGGCATTTGACTCAGTGGATCGTGAGGTTCTGTGGCAGTGTCTGTCATTGAAAAGTGTACCAAAGAAGTACATTAACCTTATACAAGCTCTCTACTCAAACACCACTGGTCGAGTGAGAGCTTATGGAGAACTGTCACCGGAATTCTTTACTTCAAGTGGTGTCCGTCAGGGATGTCCACTCTCTCCATTCTTGTTTAATTTTATCATAGACATGCTCTTAGAAATAACCTTATCCTCGTCTTAATTTTCAGGAGTAGACCTTCTACCAGGAGGCTCGCTTATCGATGACATAGTCCTATTTGGTGAAGACGCTGACAAAATGAAGAGTCTTCTGACCACCCTAAGCAACAATGCAAACATGTTCGGGATGCGGTTCTCACCCTCGAAATGCAAAATGTTGCTTCAAGACTGGGTTGCATGGGCACCTGAACTAGTGATAGGGAGTGAAGTAGTCGAACGTGTAGACCGCTTCATATATCTTGGGAGTCTCATCAGTGCTGATGGCCTGGTGACTGACGAAATCTCAGCTCGGATACAGAAGGCTCGATTGGCTTTTGACAACCTGCGTCACTTATGGCGCAGGTGAGATATCCGTTTGCTGACTAAAGGACGAGTGTACTGTGCAGCAGGTCGCTCCGTTCTTCTATATGGATGCGACACATGGCCGTTAAGAGTAGATGTTCGTAGGTTACTAGTCTTCGATCATCGGTGTCTCCGAAGCATTGCTCGTGTATCGTGGGACAACCGTATAAGCAATGCTGTCGTTAGGAAATGAGTACTAGGTAAGGATGGCAGATCAGTAGATGAAGTGGTGAAACCTCATCAGTTGAGGTGTTTGAGACATGTGTTACGTATGGCTAACCACCGACTGCCGCGACGAGCTATGTTTTGCAGTGTAGGAGAGTAGATTGGAAGAAAGCTAGGGGCGGCCAAACCAAAACATGGAACAAATCCATTAAGTCACTGACAAGTGGACTGAATCATGTAGGCAGATGTAGGCTACCTGGTTGGGGTCAGCGAGACGATGGTCACCGTTGGTCAGAGACCTTGAACGAAATGGCTCAAAATCGTCCACAATTGCGCTGGTGCATTTATTCTTTGTGTTCTATGAAATTCTAAGCTTCTTCATTCCTCATCATCTTTACTTTTCTCCTTCTAAATTTATTTCACGGAATTATACTTCTAGAATCGAATCTTCGCTCCCTAATCTTCTTCATTACTGCTAATACTTCTATCATTTCTATCACTCTTGGAGTTCAACCAGCAGTTGCGTCTCTGTGCTGATGGGGCATGGCAACCTGAACTGATGTACTTACGTACGAAGTTCTGTGTTGTATGTGTCTGTCTGTCTAAGAGAATGAATATAATGTAGTTTGGCAACCGGGATGTATTTTACTGTTGAACTTTTCAACAGAATTGTATATACTAGCTTGAAGCATTTAATAAAAACATATGACGAAGAAAAATTCCGTGAAAATTGACGGTTACATCACACAAAAAGTGACTTAGAAGACGATATGCAACCAAACGCAAAGTCACAAACGTTATCAGGTAACATAACTCAGATGGTTGGAATAACACCAACTTAAAAGGTATATAATAGAAAAAACCTCACCAGACGTTCAGAGAAATACCTGAACGCTTGTCACCCGAGCTTAGCTGTGACAATGGCAAGCCAGAATGGTCTAACAATCTGGCTATCTGATATGCTACTAGAATGCGGAGAAAATTTGCATCATAATTAGCTCATCCAAGAACGATATCAAGATTTGTTGATCTGACACGAGAAAGCTGGTAATCAGACGCAAATCGGACAACCAAAAAACAGAGTGGGAGTCAACGAAATGACTAGTTGAAAGTTTTTATAGTCTTATAGAGAGTTTTAGTCCGCTACAGTGCTATAAAAGTGACTTACGTAACTTTTGAATTTTGATGGTGGTAGTGGTGGCAAAGTAGGATCAAATGTTTTAGGTTTAGGAACTTTGAAGTACTTTTGTTTTAAGTGCCGATGTAAATGGGACATACAAAATGAAAGTATGCTTTTTATGATTTAAGTCTGTGAATTAATACGCGTCGATGGGTTTATCATGTGCATTTTAGAACAATGCCATCTACCAATCAGATTTACAAATTGATGTAATATGACATAGAATAACATTAGCTGATTATTCATTAAACCCCCTAATGGTGAATTACATTAGCACGTGGTTAAAAAATTTTGTGAAGCTATGAGTTTAGCATTTTACTTTTGTCAAGTGAATAGAGATTCATATATACGTTTGAAACATTATAAAAGACATTTTATTATATAAACGACGTATATAGTATAAACTATGGATCGTTGGATGAACAGTCAAAATTTATGCTCACTCCATTTCATGTTTTCGAAAAAAGTGAATGCACATTAGTTGTTCATGCTTTTGAAGTGATAGATAATCACCCAATAATATACGCTACAGAAAGCCTATAAGACACCGCTTTTACAGAAACATGAGATACCACCAACATAGTGGCATCGTTTTCAGGTTATTTAACTGATCACTAATAAATGATATCATGAACTACGAATGTAGTGTGTTTATAATCATTTAAAGCACATCAGTAGGACATTAATTAGCTGCTTGCTTCAATAATTTGTCTTACATCATATTAGGGTTTTAATATTAGTCTCGCTACATAACATGATGGCTTCATCAGACTACTTGAATATTACTCCATAGGCCGATAATCGTATTTAATCATACCATACACTTCACTTAAGCTATATAAAAATAAATATGAATGCAGAGACTTAGTATAAGTTCTTATTGTTAGACTACGTAATAAAACGATGTTTCATAACATTGATAATATTCACTTTAAAAGATAATATACAATATCTTGTTGCATAAAGTGTTAACAAGGATATAGCCAAAGAGTGGAGCATTTACCACACAAATAGATCTGGGATTTAAAATAAAAGGACTAAAACAAGAAGGCTTGCAAGTTACCTTAGAAAGTGTTCCTTTTCTGAACAAGCTTGTCATGATGACTACAAGCTCTCTATTGAATGACCGCTTATCATGACCTTTAAAATACAGGATCTTGATTGGTTGTTCATCTGCGTAACTAGACGGATCGATAAGTGAACAGACCAATTTCATTGGCCAAATTAATGGTCCAAAGTTTAACCGCCTGTTAATTAGTCGACCAAACGACAATCATACTTCACCTACCTGCTGTGTCACAATTCAACAGCTGTTATTTTTTAGTTTTTAGTACATTTTATCCCTTTACTTTTGGGTAGGTATATATGTAATGTTCAGTGTTTGGTAGTTTCGCATTTAGCCTGAAAGTACCTTGCGCATCGGCAGTGTGAAGAGCAGTATGTGAGAGAACCTGGAGGAGAAAAGAACAACAACTCAGGAAGCACTTAGAACCCACTCATATTTAATGATGAAAACAGTCGGCAATAGCACAGGCTTCGGATTAAAACCATCTGGTAATTGAGACTAGAAGCTGATAACGTGAAGCTTTGAATCGGCTACATTTAGCTAACTCGAAAGTGCCGCTAAATGTTTTACCGACAAGTTATAGTTAGGGTTTTCATTACGAACTGATATCAGCTACATTGCTGAACTACTTTCTAGCCATATCTAAAAATGAATTTCACTCCGAAACCCAATACTTACTTGAATTCGATTGGATCGTCCATAAATTATAACCTCGCTCAAGACGCAACAACCCGAAATTTAAAGTACAACATAAAATATAACTCGAAAAATGAAGTAATCTTCATAACTGTGCAGTAGTGACAAAAAATGCTAACAAAAATTTTATTTTACAAAAATGCAGACCCCATTGTATTAGCTAACCATTTTTGCAGGGTAAGTACCATTTCTTCCTTGAAGTTTGAATGAAATAAATCACCAAGCAGTTGATAGACAATACCACATTCTTCTTCCACAAACTTATGCCGCATAAAAGAGCACTAATCAAAATAATTGAGCTGGAATACGTTTTATTTTCACGGCTATGATATAGTATAAATCTAAAATAAAGCAGTTTACAATAGTAAAATATTATGATTTAGATTTTGTTTATCAGCATTGGAACTTTAATTATCTTTTGAAAAAATACATAACTGTTTATTTTATTAGACATTTCATGTATGTATGCTGCAGAGAACAAACGTAACGATCAAAAAAATTAGAACATCTTATGGATATTGCTACAAAAATCAAATTTTACTCAAACCACTTTGAAGAGACACAATGCCATTTTGTTTGCTTTCTTTTTTGACAAACTACTAGGATAAGGAGATGCACAATAAATCCTACGCTTCTTGAATAACTTGCAAGTGATGCATGCCGTGTAACTGCGAGAAATAAGAAAAAAAAGGAGAATGTTTTCTTGACTAAATAATATGACATGTAACATTGATATCTGATTGTGTATTTTACCGCTCTTGGCACAGTGCTAATCTGACAATAAATTGCCTATTTAGAGTATTCTGGTAACAAAGCACTTAAAATTAAGATAAGCGTTTGAGAATTCCTCTAACTATATAACCGTTCTAAATGATATTCTACTAACAACTGACAAACTGTCTAAGAACTGTCCTAAGAAATAAGATTGCATTGGCACAAAATATTTCACTTCACCTGAGGCCACCTTCAAAGAATTCACACCTTCAATTTATTTGAACATGGTCACTATTCATGAATCATTAGCTGTTTTCACTACTCAGTCATGAAACTTGAACAAGATTTGTATCAATGGTTGTTTTACAAAAGAGGTATTTTGTGAAATTATATCAATTAAAATGTTATTGAAATTACCGAAACAATTGCACTTCGCCAATATATTGGACGACCAATTCAGTTTTCTACTAATTCAGGTTTCAATAGATCATAGTAATATCAAAAGAAAGCATTTAATATGCGAGAATCAAATAATTTTACTTGTCAGTTTTCGTCAACTTTAACTTCTAACCAAAATATGATTGCATAATTCAGGCTCATTGGTTCAGCAACATGGTAAATTCTCCAAATTAACTGCACAAATCAAAATCAACCATATCGGCCAATAGCCAACTCTCGCTATTATTCATGACAAAAACTTCATCAAATGTTGTTGTCATAGATATCATGGAATTAGATAATTATTTGTGTTGATTGGGGATGAACTAAGTCTACTTACCTATTGGACATGATAAAAATCTTTACTATGCTATATACTAACTTGTATATATATATATATATATATATATGTAAATGCACCATTCGAATAACCAATAATATTTGTCTTTTTTAAAAACTCTGTGCATTCGTTGTCAATGGATTGAATTCGATCTAATCTCTAAACCTATATTTGTTGTCTCTCAATATGGTTACTGACCTTAGATTATATTAAAAATATGTTCAAACAAAATTATATTTTACTTGCATTCAATTACTAAATCATGTATCAAAAGAATAATCTAACATGTTTCTTTTTTGATCAAGTTAAACCACTAAGACATGAAATCCGTAGAAATAAAACATCTTTGGTGTATGATGCAAACATTATTGAAAAGAATAAAGAAGTACAAGCAAATGCAGAAAATGTTGATTTAAAAAATAACAATACAAATGATCAGTTGTTAAATGATACAAATTGTAATTATAGTTCTACGAAGAATATTCATCGTTCTATAACATTGACATCCACAAGAGAAAAACCAACACATTTAATAAATAAGGAATTAATTTCAAAACAATTTGATTATTATACATGGGTTGAAATAAGTGGAACAATTATGAAAGATCTTTTAACTTGTTTACATCAGCAAAATTTCAAAGAAATTAAACATCCTAGAATATTAGATTATCGTTTGGATGAAACATGGGATGAATTGATTTCGAAGGTGGATCATTCTCCAAGAGATTGGCAATTGCCTGCAATTAAAAATGCTTACAATCTATGGATTCAAGTAAATAATTCAACAATCGAGTTTAAACCTGTGATATGCGTCTAAGAGATTTTTTTATTTTAATAAGATTATTTTTTTAGGCTCTTTAGAGGATAAACGAAAGTATATGAAGATTACTTTAATCGATTAGTTGGAGCGTATTTGATAAACACAAATTTGTTAATTATTAATATCAATGATAATATAGTACTTGAGATAGGATATGTGTCCATGATTTTATAGTGTCACCGGTTTTAAGATGTTCAGTCTGTGTGTGTGTGTGAGAGAGAGATAGCAAGGATTTTCGAGAATTTTTCTGTTCATTTGATGAACGATTGTTGCATTTAAAAGCAAAATCTTCACTGACGATGTTATTTATTAGCTCTGACTTTCAGTTGATTTGCTTGTATTATCTTGCTACAGTGGCGTATTCATAGAAGACATATGTAGATAGATTTAGATAACTGAAATGAGATCTTTAGTGTAAACTACTTTCATATATGCAACACCTACCGAATGAATGAAGACAAAAAAAGGATCGAAAATTTTAGACATTGAACTTTTACTAAATACTGATCCATTCCGACAGAACTCATTTTGCACAAAACAGTTACAATTTATTCTGATTTTGATTGGATCATGCAGAATTCTTCTGTCTTCAGCGCCTAATCAAGGTACGACAATTGACATCCAATATTTCAGACTCGAAAACTTGTTTGTATATTGTAAATCAAACAGTTTTACTTTGATAGACACATATTAGAGAAATGTCTTAATTAGTTGGCGAATAATTTTTGTTGTTTTCATTTACCCTCCTATTTTTAACAAAAACCACAACTTAAAGGTCTCAGTAAAAGACGTGAGGTTATTCCAATTAAACAACTGTCCGATCCTTCAATTTCAACTAGTAGACGTTTCTGTCTTAATTTAAACCTCGTTATTAGTGAACAGCTGAGACGTAATCAAGCAACAGGAATTTGCAGTTAAGTAATTTAACGACGTCTAACAAGTTGTCGCTTGAAAGATAATCACACATAAGTACTTCTAGTTTCTATAAAGTGTCTCATTCTTCTTTTAGCAGTTTAACTTTAAATTTTATAAAATAACTATTATCATCAGTCGTCTTTGGCTAAAAGAAAATCTACAGATTTAGGAGTCACAAATGAATGATAGTGTGAAGACAGTAACAGGCGGTGAACAAATGTACGGGTGTTAAATATTGAATAAACAGGAAGACTGTGTGCAAGACAATTATCGATAAATAAAAACCACAATAATATCACAGAACTCATTTTACTTTTGAAGTAGTTGTATATAAACGATTATATATAAATGTACGATTGACGAATCACGATTAACCGAATATAATTACGTACAAAAATCAATATCCCCCGAGATGATAAAAAAGAGCTTGGATGAAACGATTGCGATAACATGTTTCACAAAACAGTAATATAAGTGATACGATATGCTTTCACTATGCTAGTGAATGTGTATGTAGCGAGTAATGTGAGCCATCATGGTTAATAGTTGTATAGTCTAGGTGTTTGAATACGTATATACATTTGTTTGAAACTATCGCTACATGCAGTGTTTACAATAACGCTCAACGGTATTATTACCTTTAATAAGCTTGGCGATTCAAAATAAATAAGGTGGTCTAAAACCACTGGCTGATTCTGGTACTACTTGGTTGGCTTCGACTGCAGGGATCAGTGATGTATTGAGAAATTAGGCCCAATATTTCGTAAAGGTTTAATTTGCTTACTAAAAACTAGTAGATTATTACAACCTTACGAACATAAGTGTAATTCTGCAAGTTTGAGATTGACTTTAAGTGAAAACATCTGGAGTTCAGACATTATCTAACTTACAAAAAACGTTTGTTTTTATCATATCGAAGTTAAATGGTATATCATTTTAATTTTACACTTGTATTCAGAATGTGTTTCAATTGTAATTGATGATGTTGATTTGTTCAAGCTTCAGGCTCAATAGTCTATGTCAATTTTCATTGGCTGACAACGCCTAATTTAGCCTTGTAATTGTATTCCTGATGTCCTGATCATACCATTAGACATGAACGTGTAACAATCAAAGTGACTCTTTTCATGTCTATTGTATTATAGTTTTCAATCATCTACATTTGCTACTTGTTATCAATATAAATTAATCTGGATGATTCATAATGTAGGCATAATTCAGTGATAAGAAACATTTAAAAAAATTGACTGGTATTTTATGTTGAAGAAAAATAATATGTACTTTGACCAAAAATGTTTGACCTTGTTAAACGTTCTTTGTTTTATTCATAAACTGTACTTATGAGTAATGCATTGTCCAAATATGATTCTTAAGGCATTGAAATCTTTTTTACGTGATTATCCCATTTCTGACAAAGATGCTTTAGTTATTATTTTATTCATTAATAAATGTAACCGAAAAAAAAGTATCTCTTAGTTTATAAGCGCAGTTATCATTTGAAATATTTTAATTACATTATCTTTTGATTTAAGGAAAATCCTCCTGAAGTTGATGCATATGGAATAAAATTTGAATCAACCAAAAAATCACACTCATCACTTGGTTTTGAAATTGCTACTACTTATATACCTTCACCACGAGGTTCAGTATTTCGAAAACAATCAAGCCTTACAAATATTGAAAACATGACTATTCATGTGAAAACACCAAATGAACGAAAATTAAATGGTATGCTTTATTTTGATATTATTTTACCCTCTTTGTTAGAAAATATTTTAGTATACAATTACTAATTATTTGTAATTCATTCAAAAAACACATTTTCCAAAGAAATTTATTGCATGAGACAATAGGATGTGGTTCATCAAATAGTTTAGTGAAGGCTTCGTTGTGTATAGTAGTAACTCGTAGTAGAATCCGAAATGTGTATTTCGTCCTACATGAGACTCGTCAAGTTAATATACACGATAACTAGTGTTGATAATCACATTGAAACTTACAATGAACAGTAATTTTAGAAACTTGCATTTTTATTGTAATAATCAGATTTGAATTTGGTAATGCTCTGACGTTTAAAGCCATAGGTACTTACTTTACTTACTTTTGCCTGTTACCCCCAATGGAGCATAGGCCGCCCACCAGTTTTCTCCAACCAACTCTGTCCTGGGCTTCTCTCTCCAGTTCTGTCCAATGTTTGTTCATTCCTCTCATATCTTTCTCTATTTCTCGGCGTAGTGTGTTCCTTGGCCTTCCTCTTTTCCTTTTGCCTTGAGGGTTCCATGTGAGGGCTTGTCTAGTGACGCAGTTGGGTGCTTTTCGTAGTGTATGTCCTATCCATTTCCACCGCTTCTTCCTGATTTCCTCCTCCATTGGAATCTGACTTGTTCTCTCCCACAGTTCGTTGTTGCTGATGGTGTCTGGCCAACGAATACGAAGTATTTTGCGTAGACAACTGTTAATAAACACTTGTATCTTCTGGATGATGGCTTTGGTAGTTCTCCATGTTTCCGCTCCATACAGTAGAACTGTCTTGACATTTGTATTGAAGATCCTGATTTTGGTTTTGGTTGAAAGTTGTTCGGAGTTCCAGATATTTTTCAACTGTAGAAATGCAGCCCTTGCTTTGCCAATCCGCGCCCTCACATCTGCGTCCGATCCACCTTTCTCGTCGATGATGCTGCCAAGATATGTGAAGGTGTTAACGTCCTCCAAGGTATCTCCATCAAGCGTGATTCGGTTGGTGCATGTTGTGTTGCATCGGAGAATTTTGCTTTTTCCTCTATGTATGTTGAGACCTACTGCTGCAGAGGCTGCTGCTACACTGGTCGTCTTCTCTTGCATTTGTTGTTGAGTGTGCGATAGAAGAGCCAGGTCATCTGCGAAGTCCAGATCGTCCAGCTGCGTCCTAACTGTCCAGTTGATACCGTGCTTCCCTCCAGATGTTGACGTCTTCATAATCCAGTCGATGACCAGGAGAAAGAGAAAGGGTGAGAGTAAGCAACCTTGCCTGACACCGGTCTTCACCTCAAAAGAGTCTGTCAGCTGACCTCCGTGTACGATTTTGCAGTTGAATCCATCATAAGAATTCCGTATGATGTTGACTATTTTCTCAGGCACACCGTAGTGTCGAAGAAGCCTCCACAGTGTTTTCCTATCCACGCTATCGAATGCTTTCTCGTAGTCGATAAAGTTGATGTAGAGTGGTGAGTTCCATTCAATTGATTGTTCCACAATGATCCGTAATGTAGCAATTTGGTCAGTACACGATCGATCCTTACGAAATCCAGCCTGTTGATCTCGAAGTTGGGCGTCTACGAAGTCCTTCATTCTGTTTAACAATACTCTGTTGAAGACTTTGCCTGGTATTGAAAGAAGAGTGATGCCTCTGTAGTTCTCACACTTGCTGAGATCGCCTTTCTTTGGTATTTTGATCAGGTATCCTTCTTTCCAATCTGATGGTACTTGTTCCTCATCCCAAATCTTCTTGAAGAGAATGTGAAATATTTTCGCAGTTGCTTCCACATCTGCTTTCATTGCCTCTGCTGGAATGTTGTCTGGTCCTGCTGCTTTGCCGCTCTTGATTTGTCTGATGGCTATACTGATCTCCTCAATCGTAGGTGCGCCAATATTAATTGGGAGGTCCTTGGATGCTGCTTCGATGTTGGGTGGGTTCAGTGGAGCTGGTCGATTCAATAGTTCCTTAAAGTGCTCCACCCACCTATTTCGCTGTTCGTCAGTGTTGCTGATTATTTTCCCTTCCTTGCTTTTCACTGGTCGTTCTGGTTTACGATAGTTTCCGGCGAGCTTCTTTGTAGTTTCGTACAATTGTCTCAAGTTTCCTTCTCTTGCAGCCTTTTCCGCCGTCATTGCTAGATAATCCACATATTTTCGTTTGTCATCTCTGATGCTCTTCTTCACTTCCCTGTTTGCTTCTGTGTATTCAGCTTGTGCCTTAACTTTCTCTGCTCTTGTTCGGCTGACATTGATAGCTGCCTTCTTGTTCCTCCTTTCTTGAATTTTTTCAAGAGTACCAACAGAGATCCATTCCTTGTGATGGTGCTTCTTGCGACCAAGGACCTCCTGACATGTTGAAGTGATTGCCTCCTTAATCCCTTTCCAATTGTTCTCCAATGTTGCTTCCTCTCCATTGAGTAGATCCTGAAAGGCCTGGAACCTATTGGTGAGGGCTATCTTGAATTCGTTGAGTTTTACGGTATCCCGAAGAAAGGCCGTATTAAACTTCTGTGATGTTGTCTGCCCCGCTGTCCAGTGCTTCTTTAGCTTCAATCTCATTTTGGCGATCAGCAAGTGGTGATCTGAAGCTATATCAGCTCCTCTCTTGGTTCTCACATCCTCCATGGTCCTTCTGAACTTTTTGTTGATACAGATATGGTCAATTTGGTTTTGAGTAGTGTGGTCCGGTGAAATCCATGTGGCTTTGTGAATGCGTTTGTGCGGGAATATTGTGCCACCGATGACCAGTTTGTTGAAGGCACATAGGTTTGCAAATCTCTCACCGTTTTCGTTCCTTTCTCCCAGTCCATATCGTCCCATGATGTCTTCATATCCAGTGTTGTCCATTCCAACCTTGGCATTCAGGTCTCCCATAAGAATCGTCAAATCCTTTGGTGAACATTTCTCGACGACTGACTGCAGCCTTTCGTAGAATTGATCTTTAACGTCGTCATTGTAGTCATTGGTAGGTGCATAACATTGGATGACGTTCATTGTAATGTCCTGTTTCTTTGTTTTGAAGGATGCTTTAATGATCCTGGGTCCATGAGATTCCCATCCTATCAGTGCCTTTTGTGCATGTTTGGACAGCATCAGTGCAACTCCTTGTGTATGTGAAGCATTTTCCTCTTCATGACCAGAGTATAACAGCAGTTCCCCTGAAGCAAGTCTCAGTTGTCCTACCTGTGTCCAATGTGTTTCACTGATGCCGAGCACCTCGAGGTTGTATCTTTTCATTTCTGCCGCAACTTGAAATAGTCTTCCAGTCTCCCACAATGTACGAACGTTCCATGTACCTAAAAAAATGGTTGCTCTAGTTGTCAGAAGAGGCATCGGCCCCGTGACTTCCGAGGGGACTCGGCTTTCATCACGAGACGTCATAATTCTTCTTCCAACTCCCAGGGCAGAGTTAAAATGGTTTGAATTATTTTTTCTGGTTAGCGTTTTTTTGGCAAGTTAGATTTCAACGGAATGGGGCCGCCAACCCCATGTCCAACCCTCCTCCTTTATCCGGGCTTGGGACCGGCAGTAGCCCCTAAGGTTCTACTGGCGGAGTTAAAGCCATAGGTACCAGATGCTAATGTTACTATGAACATCATTTCAGCCATTTAGAAGCATTCAAGTGACAAGTTTATTCTAAAATGAAAAATGTATTTCGTTGCTACCCATTACTCAAAATATAGCTAGTAAGTAAGTGTGAATGGTGTAAAATATTTATTCAAGCATTCCATTTGCAACCATAGACTGATGTTATACTAGTATTCCTAATGAATATATCATTAACATTTTCAAATTCAAAATATGAACTGAAAGAAAAGTGCTTGCCGAAACCTAAAGGTCAATGACTCGATCTCTGTCAAGAACTATATTACCAGAGTCCTGTTATGTGACAAAACAACTACATTATTCTCCCCAGTTTTCATTCATCAATTTCTCTACTGAACTACCAAATAATTCAGCAAAAAGTCAAGCCTCAGACGAACTTAAAGCGGAGTTTCTGTCAGACTAACTGAATCGATCATGAATGAAATAGTCAGATGAAATCCTGCCACGAAGTATGTTTTAGTTAGATAAAGATTGGTCAAAAGAATAAAAAGTTAACCTTTTCATTCTGTTGGTGCTGGTAGGAATGACAGATAAGTAAAATTATTGATGTTTCTTACGATTTTTTTTCAGACATGCAGTATACTTCAGAGCGAATATCTAATGCAAAGAAGGTTAATAAAGATTATTCCCCACCAAAAATTTTACTAAACAATACGTCTTCAGAATCTTCAAGATCAACGCAGAAATTAGATAGTTTGAAAGATTCTCTAAAATATTCCTCTGTCAACAAAGAAAATGAATCAAGTTTAACAATCGAGAAAGAATCAAAAATTTCTATTTCACCCATGAATCGTCCACAGATTTCCAGTAAACATATTCTGTCTACAGGTAAATGATATCCTTAGATGTTTCGTTTTCAGAATTGTATCATTATTACTGTGAGATTAGATAAATTGGTTATAATTCTTTCAATATTCGACATCGAGAAGAGAATTGTAGTGGAACTGTACTTAAAGCTACTAAACATTACCCGACTAGCCATAGTGTAAACGTTAGTCAATGTTAATGGAGAGTTATGCCTTGAATAGTACTGGCTAACTTATTTATCACAGTAATTGTATCTTTTTATTGATGGTTTTGGTTAGTTTTATAAATAACATTCAAGCACCTAACAGTTTAGATTAGGATTTTTATACATGATAACCACAAAAGGAATTGAATGATTATAAACAACGCTATAATATGTATCAAGTACTGGTTTGAAGTGTAGTAGTCTAAGTGCAGTATACTCTGG